AGTTTACCAAAGGCATCTGCTCAGCAATTATGGGAACAGGATGCAGGACTAAACGGGCAACTGGTCTGAACAAGCATGCTCAACTTATGTTCATATGTACCCATCACATTTTTCAGTGCTGCCTGCTCCCATTGAGAAATGCAAAGATACAAACACAGGCATCATATAATAAACCAACATTTGTCTCTCTCACACACACACATCTTCTCTGTTGCCTTGGGCTGTTCTTCCTCACTCCTTCAGGCATGTTCATTCCCCATCCTGTCATCAAAGCTTAAGGCATTTTGAGCCTGCCCTGCGAGGAGCAGGTTTTGGACATGAAGATTTGGACATGGAGATTTGGCACCCCACTGTGCTCGGCTGTTTGTTTGCTTTTTGAAAAATTTATGTCAGGTACTGTACTTGTGAAGAATTCAGAAATAACAACTGTGGGGGGTTGGGGGGAAGGGGTGTTTACAGGTTTTTTTTGCCAAACATGGCTTTTCTTTCCAACACTGTTTAGCTGCACTGTAATTATCATTTAGGGGGGAAATTATATGGCAGTAAGGGCTAAAGTAGTGACAATATACTGATTATTTACAGCAGTGGGAGGGTTGGTGGGGTGGAAGCACTCACCTGACCTCCCAGCAGCTGGGCCATTGCTGTTTACTGGGAGGGGGAGGGCATGGCAAGGAGAACAGTGTAGTGCAAACAGAGCCAGCAGGAGTGCTGGATTGGCTCCACTGATGCATTTGCAGCAAACCAAATTCACCCGCCGCTCTGCTTCCTGGTAAGTAGCAGCTATTCACCTGCCAGGAGGTCAGGGAAGGACCTCCAGCCCCCCACGACATCTGCTGCTGATTATTTGTTAATGTAAGCACCTGGTAGGCAAACCTTGCCAACACATCTTTTTAATAAGACTAAAAAGAGACAGGATACATTTCAGTTTCGTTTTGCAAACTGTTGGTCCTCCTTTGCTGTGAGCTGCAGAATCAGATCCAGCTATTTCATGATTCTCACCAGCCAGGAGGCTGCCAGTCCTTGTTTGGGGAGAAAGAAACCAGGAGTGCTGGTTCACATGTAACACTAAGCCAGCCGTGTGCTCTTTCCAACAATCAGACAGAGTGTAGGCGGATGCAGGAGAGGAGCAAAGAGGGGACTTCTGAGCAGCCTGCACCAATGTGATGCTCATTTCTATTAAACTGTGGTTTAATGTTACTTGCAAGCCAACTCACTGAGACATTCTTCTGAGCAAACATGCTTAGGATCATTGTAGTGGGAAAATGCAGCCTATATCATGCTGCATGGCTGTACAGTGGTACCTCAGGTTACATACGCTTCAGGTTACATATGCTTCAGGTTACAGACTCCGCTAACCCAGAAATAGTGCTTCAGGTTAAGAACTTTGCTTCAGGATGAGAACAGAAATCGTGCTCTGGCGGCGAGGCGGCAGCAGGAGGCCCCATTAGCTAAAGTGGTGCTTCAGGTTAAGAACAGTTTCAGGTTAAGTACGGACCTCCGGAACGAATTAAGTACTTAACCTGAGGTACCACTGTAATCCTATGCATGTTCAGGCCATGTTCAGACTAGCTTAAAATAGTGCTTTTACTGTTTTTCAAGTTGAATTTGCATGGTGTTGTGTGGTGTTTGCATGGTTTGGTTTTCTCATCCCTGCAATGACTCCCAGCTCTGTGCTCCACCCACCGCTCTAAGCAGACACATCACAGAGTTGAAGTAAACGTCTGCTTATCACTTCTAGGTTCTCCTTTGACACACACAGAGAAATATATATATATAGAGAGAGAGAGAGAGAGAGAGAGAGGGAGGGAGCTTCCCACCATTGTGACTTTTTGAAAAGCAATCTATAATTTATTCTGGCTCTCAGTGGCTGGCGCAATTGATGCACGCTTGCACAGAGAAGGAGAGGAGTGTGGTTAGTAAGAAAAGTGTGGAGAAAGGAGAGAGGGCTGCTAGTGTGTTCTGGGCTCTGAATTGCTCAGACTGTCTTGGTTCTTTACCTCTTTGCTGCATTCTCGGCTCCCTTTCCCTTCCATGGCTCCTACCTGGAGACAGTTCACAGCTTTATTTCTCTCAGTGATGGCACTTTAAATAATCAAAGTGAGTGTGAAGAACAGGTCCTTCTCACTTGCAGAGACTGATAAGCAGAGACGAGCATGGATCTCAATCTCTCTCTCTCTCTCTCTCTTCTCTATCTATCTATCTCTCCATGCAATAATCTGCCCTTGGGAGGAAAGGAGGAGTTAACTTTTCATTAGTATTTTTCATTAGTTACGTCCAAGTTGGCTTTAAACTGACAGGGCAGGGAACAAGTGCGGTGCAAAGAGTACACCAATGGTATGCATCCAACCCACTTGTGAGATTTTCAGCAGAAGCGGGGCGGGGGATGCTTTTGCAATGCAAATTGTGATATCTACATCTCATTGAATATTTGATTCACTTTACATATTTCTTTGCTTTTAAAATTATCTGCTTCAGTCAGCGATCTACCGAACACCGAAACGACGACAACAGCCAATGAATGCCTGTCTGCCCTCTTGTCTCCTTGAACTGATAACTCCAGGAAATAATGTGCTTTCTTAATTCGACCCATCAGAGTTACTACAGGGAGTTCACATATATGCGCACATATCACATGTTGAAAGCATTATATAGGGATAGCAGGAGGAAGCCAGCTAGACAATGCCCACATAATCACAGCCCACTACCAGCTATGTATTAGATGGGCTTGTAAAAGGGTCTTCAATGCATAGCTTGCCCAGATGTCGGGCTCTTTTACACAAGGTTGAATTCTAATTGGGCCACAATCCCCCCTCACATGGATACATTCCTATACATGTTGTGCCCTTTGCTAAGGATACTGACTATACAACTAGATGGCAAGTGGGACTTGCCAATACAATCCCTCCCCTGTGTCTTTAGTGTATGACTGCAGCTCCGCACCTAGGAAAAGTTTTCATCTTGAAGCAAGCCTACAAAAGTGTGCTTCACTCTAAGCTTTAGAGAAGCAACTCCTGATTAGCCTGGAATGAGGAAGACCATACAGACCAGCTTTCTGAAACCTGGTGCCCTCCAATTGTTTTTATTCCCATCAGCCCCAACCAGCATGGCCAATACTCAGGGATGGTGGGAGCTGTAGTCCGATCCATATGGAGGGCTGCAAGGCGAGGAAGACTGGTATATATATATATATACCTTATCAAGGATGAGGAACCTGTGGCCCTCCAGAGATTGTTGGACTACATCTCCCATCATCCCTGACCATCAGCCATGATGGTAGGGAATGATGAGAGTTAGGGTCCCAGCAACATCTGGAAGAGTTCTTATTCCTGATACAGAATAGGTTTCCTGCAATGATTTCACTTGTTTATGAAAACTTCCTCTAGGCTCTATCATGTCCCTGTGAGAGGGAGAAAGCACCAGCTAAAAACAACACAGAGCATGTGTTTCCTCAATAAGCAGGTGACAGTACCTTCAGCTTTTGTGTGTGCACTTCCACAGTGACTTCTTGCTCTTACAAGAATGGCCTGGCAGTGGCTTCTTGCATCTATTCAATACTACTGGGACTTTGCATCAGTAGCCTTGCTTTCTGCTTTCTGATACTGTGCCACCATGGAGCCATGAGAAAACAGGCTCCTTGACTCTGACATGAAATGCCCTCCTCTCATTTCCCCACCCCAAGTGCCACAAGGGGGAGAAAGTAATCTCTAATGGCAGCCATGTATCTCAAGGCGACTCTTTCCCTGTCATGGTCACTAGCTTCAGAGGTTGTTTGATGCCCATTGGCTGTAGCAGCGATCAGATAGGCTTCTGGTGGCCTTCTTTGCACTGCCCCAGGCAAGGAAATGGGAAGAGCTAGCTTGAGTAGCAGGGTGGGCAAGACTTAAGAGGAAAAGCCTTTGGCTTGATGAGCATTGGATATCACCAAGGTGATATTCTTTCTCAGGATGTCAGTTATGAACTAGGAATGGATGAATCTGTCAATTTAGGCTTTTCTCTGGTTCTCACATTGACAGTTCACCCCACTTGTGCAGCAGCTGGGGATTTATTTCTTTTAAGTCTACTTTTAAAATCCATACAGATTTCTGTGCATATTTAATATATAAAAAAATGTATGCAGTTTGGCCTAATCTATGCATTTTGTCAAGCAATTTCCCCATTAATATTAATTATATTGGATTTATTGTTGTTTGTTGTTGTTGTTTATATACCACCTTTCATTCTGAAGATGTCCAGGATGGCGAACAACATAATTACAAGAACAGGACTGGACACAATATTTTAAAACTTTTTTTTTAAGCAGCACAGTATAATATTACAGCACAATAATAATGTTGTTAGGACCCAGGGCAAAGAAATCATGATCCAAAAGCGCAAGCAGGATGTGAGGGGAATGGTGGGGGTTGCACATTTTTGTATTCATATTCCTATTATTATTATTATTATTATTATTATTATTATTATTAAATTTTGCAAAGTTAAAAACACTTTACACTTTCCCCCTGGTTACATGCATTGTTGAATGTATTTGGGAAAGTGTGTCATAGCATCTGGAAAAGGGCACATTTCAAGTAATAGCTGTGTTTTGGTTTGTGTATTGGATCAGGAAGTGCAAATCAGACAAGCACTTATCAAAATGCAAACCCAATTTATTTATCCCCATCCTGAGTATGAGCAGCCATATCCAAACACAACTCATAATTGGAAGGTCCCTGCCTGGGAGCTCTCAGAAAGCAGTGGGTGCAAAGATAGGACCCAATATCCAATCCTTGCTACTTGGCAACTTCTGCTGAATAATCAGGGTCAAAGGGACTGTTCACAAGTTGGAATTTCAACATGCAAAAAAAAAGAAGACCCTAAACCCCACAACTCTATTCAACATGAGCTCAGCATAGCAACTTGAGCAAATTAATGGTTATGTACATAGCTCTGACAGTTCTCTTTTATACAATAGCCTATAAATTCCACTGTCTGCAATAGCATCAGTATCACAAACGCAACTGTTAGCATGCTGAAGTTCTGATTGAATTAGACATCCCAGCACTGGATCTGTTCATAACTTCCAAATGTAATTCAATAGCCACCAGCGCACGGTTATGCTGTGTCACCAACCATATTCCTTCCCGCTGCAGCATCCCCAGCACAGGCAAGCAAACAACAGAGTAGCAAGAAGCCCAACTTATTGTCCCTTTCACCCCCTTGCAGATGGGAAGCAATGCCTGCTGGCTACCCAGAAATGCTGAGAAAAGGAAGGAGACCAGAGACTTACGCAAGGCATGCCACTCATCCTGGCGGATGGTCTTCGTAATGTTGTAGGTGAGGTTCTTGGGAATTGTTGCTGAGGAGTAGTGGTACTTGATGTATGAACACTGGTCAATTGCTCCTGGGAAAGGCAAGAAGAAGGCAATGTTTGTTATGCAAGAAGAGAGACTTATTCCATTCCAGCAGCATTGCACAATTCAGCGTGAGAGACCCACACCTAGATGATGTGGGACACCGGCAGGAGGATTGCTTAACATCAATAAGCCTAGAGAAACAGTCAGGATGTTGCAGGAAGCCTCATTCACTATTGTCCTGGAATCACTGTGAGCCCAGTTAATACACTGAAAAGTGGAGAGGGCTGACTAGTGGGAAAGTGAAAGTGTGTGAACACCCTGAAAGTACATTGGGATAATGTGCGAATGCTCACCATTGTGTAACCTCCCCACAAACCAAGGTTCAGTAAATACCAGATATAATATAAACTCCATCCATGGGTGTAGTCAAGATTTATTTTAGAGGGGCAGGCTTTATGTTAGTGGGGCAGAAGTGAGATATCTGCAATGCAATTGGTCAGTTAGTTAAGTATTTCTATTTATTTACAGTAGTACCTTGGGTTACATATGCTCCAGGTTGCATATGCTTCAGGTTACAGACTCCGCTAACCCAGAAATAGTGCTTCAGGTTAAGAACTTTGCTTCAGGATGAGAACAGAAATCGTGCTCCGGCAACACAGGGGCAGCAGGAGGGCCCATTAGCTAAAGTGGTGCTTCAAGTTAAGAACAGTTTCAGGTTAAAAATGGACCCCCAGAACGAATTAAGTACTTAATCTGAGGTACCACTGTACTTGACTTAGGCTGCCCCTCCTCGCACCCCCCTGGCTATGCCCATGACTCCATCTGATCTTTGTTCATGGAAATCAGGGTGGTCAACAAACAGGTTGTCTGTAGAAGCTCATACTGCAATAGTACAATCGTATTATTTGCCACGGCTTTCTCACAGTGAACCCTGAACATTACAGTTTCCAGATCCCTCGACATCCTGGTCAAGCTCCTCTGCACACAGCCCAACTTGTCAATGCCCTTCTTAAAAGGTGGTGCTGAACAATACACTCCAGAGGCAGCGCTTAACCAGGGCAGACTAAAGTAAAACTGCTTCTTTAATCTGGACACAATTCTGTTATGATATTTGGTATCCAACAGGCTAGGTCTTTTCTACCACTTCGCCTTTATCAAATGAGCCTTTTGAGCCACGTTAGGTCATTAAACTGCACTTGGCATGAACACACCACAAAAGTGGAGGGTGACTAAATCATTATGCAACCAAATTGCTAGTTACAACAGAGGCGGGTTTGCATCTTCCCAAGTTACCGGAGGTGTTCCATTGTTTGCTTTCCTTCCATGCTTCTAACATTCTGCCTTTGACAGCAATTAGATTAGACAAAGCCAAATATTATAGGGGGGAAAGCAAAATATTTACATATGTACACGTCTGCCCTGACAGCGTGATGGGCTCCGGCGTGTGCCTTCGCCATCTGGGCACCAAATGCACACCCAGAACGAAAGTTTCCAACTAAGAACCATACTTAAAAAAAGAAAGCCATTGTGATCCTTTTTAAAGTGCCCCAATTGCTTCCTTCTGCGCATTTTTTAAAAAGATAGTTATGCCAGCCTGAAAGACACAAAACCTAACCTTCCATCATACTTACTTCTGTTACAAGTATGGGATGAAGGTTTTGGCACAAAGCTGTAAAAGGCTTATTGGTCTGGAATTAAACTTTACACTATTATATACCTGCCCAGTGTAAGCTGTCCTCTAGAGAGCCAGCAAAGTACACAAACCCACAGATGCAGAAAAAGAAGAGGAAAAGAAGACATGAGGGATGGCAGTGATCTTATTCATAGCTACCTCCACCTGCCTGCCTTCATGCTGACAACCAGTCCAGGGCATAGGACTGACTGCCAGGTTCCTCCTCCTAAATCTCACTGTTACCTTTGTGGAACTCAACAAGGGGGAGGAGCCAAAACTAGACTCAGTTGGCTCTGCCTGCCATTGGCTCTGACTCCACCTACTGTTGACCTTCCTTCCCTTCTGGTCCCAAGGGGCACCCACCATCAATGGTGCAGTGGAAATCAAAGCATTTGTTCACAGTGTAAACTACGCATGGCATTCTTCAGGTGCATTCACAAAGCCTCCTGTTGCTGCCATAATCGCCTCCAAAACAGTCTTCCCTTTCATGTGTTCAGACAGAGCTATTCATAGCGGATAATAAATTCAGTTGCTATTCTTTGTTCTTTTACAAATGCACCATTTGAGCTGAACTGATGAAAATTTAAAATACGAGCAAATTTCAGCCTGCAGCTTGTTTCGGGAGGCGTATCGCCACATCTTGTGCTTTTGCCCACATTTGTTTTCAATGAGAAGATGGTTGTAATCTCTTGTAATTTTGCTTCATTTGCTGGGGTGGTAAGTTTCAACTGGAACTTACAGGGTGGTGGTATCAACCAACTTTTACTCAGGGCAGACCCCTTGACATCAATGGACCTAGCTTAGTCTTGCTCATTCGTTCCAGTGGGCCTGTTCTGAATAAAACTTAGCTGAATACCACCCACAGTCAGATCCGTTCCCAAGTTTGAAAGGCAGTGTCTCCATCTATTCCTTTGGCTGTGAAAGGACAACTGTGAGCTCATCATTCTCTTGTAGTAATTCAGTGCTTAGGTGCCTTTAGAGCTGGGATATTTATCATTCCCTCCAGCTGCTACATTTATCCAGCTGCATACATCTGGTGCAATGTTACTCGTAATCCTCTTGCTAAAATTTAACCCTTTGTAGGTCCTGATATGGTGAGATGGCTGCTGCTCGTAGTGGGTTAGGATCTGGCTAGGGCTTGAGTGTCAAGGTTAACAAGGCAAAGCTTAGAATAATAATTGTCTGAAGGGTAGTGATTGTTGGAAGGTCATGATCAAGGGTGCCAGCTTGAATAAAATATTGGGGGGCTTGGGTAAGCCTCTGCCTACATAATCAATCACAAGACACGGTGCATGCACCCCATTTGACTGGCAATACCTATCAACTTGGGGGGCAGCCCCCTCAAATATTTTAATGGGGGAAGGCAAAGGAACCTTGGCCCATAGAAGTTGGCTCCTGACAGTTAAGGAGCCTGAAAGCTGTTAGGAGACCCCTATTTCCCTCCACAGAGCTACAATTCCCACAAGTCCCTAGGAAAAGGGGTTGGTTGTTAAACCTTACTGAGAATTGTCACTCAGTGAAGGAAACAGAGGTATCCTAACAACTCTCAGCCCCCTTAACAAACTACACTTCCCAGGATTCCTTGGGGAGGTTACAAAACAGCTACAAAATAATTCTCAAAGTAGCATGCAGCCTCCTCTACTGTTCAAGCTGCTGGAAGTCAGATGTAGCCAGGGCACACTGGGGTCTCTGGAAAGTGAGTGATGCTCATGGATTGGGAGCACAGCGGAGCGGGAGGAAGGAGAGAGAGAATGTGTATCCAGCTCACTAACCCTACTTTCTGGGAAAAGTAGAAATCAAAGATGTGTCTACAAATGAACTGTAGGGACCCAAGGCAGCCTGATTGCCCGTGATGTCTGAAGGTGACATATTGGTGCATCTTCTTACCCTTGACCTGAGGAGTGTGGAGTGTGCCTTAAAATTCTGCCTTGGGACAATCCTGACCCTTCACTTTGCCTCCTTAACCCTGATGCACAACCCTTGGCCAGATCCTGCCATACCACTAGCACTGGTCACCTCACTATATCAGACCCTTCAATGTAGGGTTGAGGTTCAAACAGAGGATTATGAGTAAGGTTGCACCAGATGCACATAGCTGGGTAATTGTAGCAGCTGGTGGGAAAGATAAATATTCCAAATCTGAAGGCACCCAAGCACTGAATCACCACTAGAGAATGATGAGCTCACAGTTGCTCTTCCACAGCCAAAGGACAACACAGAGGTCCAAAGGACAGTTATGAAACCCACACAGCCTGGCTGTTAACCTTCTCCAGGCCAGGGCACAGTAGCAGAGAGGAGTTACAAGCTCCTTGTCCTTTGTTCAGTCTCCTTGTCTTATCTGTTTTTCATGGGTTATGAAGTTTAAAAGGCTGAACGTTCTTTATTCCTGCTTGTTTGGAGACAGAAATTAAATGATCAATAAAGAGTCACTGAGACATCAATTATTGGTAAAGATGCACTGATGATCTAGGAGCTCCTTAAATAAGCTTTTATTTCAGGGAAGAAGCCCTACATGGATCATTGTGCTGTCCGGTAAGGTGGAAAAGGAGAAGTGTAAGCAGGCACAGGACTCTCTCCCCAACAATATGAACAATGAGTCAGAAAGTCACCTGGTGCCTGGACCAAATCTCATCTTAGCCATGTATTAGCTAGATGGCTTTCAACAAACCATATTCTCAGGTCTCCTGCTTGTAACAAAGCCAGTCTGGCACAATGGTTAGGATGCCCCACTAAGACTGGGGAGACCCAGGTTCAAATCCCCACAAGTTCAGGAATCTCACTGCATAATCTTGAGCCAGTTGCACTGTCACAAGCCCAACCTACCATACAGGGCTGACGTGAGGATAAAATGGGGAGGAGGAGAACCTGGTACACTACTTTGTTCTTTTTGGAGGAAAGGTGGGATATAAATGTAATTAATAATATCACAGGCATGTCAAATGTATGCTGTCAACTTATGAGCTTTGGCAACAACATCATTGCATTACCAGGGGAAATGGGTGGTGACAGGCAAGCCGACGCTTTTATAAGCATTTGAGAAACTCGGACTTTCACAAGATCACTGTTCCAAAGCCACAACCTTATTGGATCGGGGTGAATTAATGCTGATGTCTTTATTGTAGAATGTGCATTATCAAACTAGGCAATTAGGAATGCATCCCAAGCTTCTAATTGTCAGGTATCACGGTGGCTGTGATCTGTAAACCAATTCAGCTGCAATACTTAAATTTAAGTCCACTTAGCCACATTGCCTTAATAGGCTAAACAAAAAAAAGCCCAACAACTTTAATCGGAGAAATAATAGCAGTTCTTTATATATCGCTATTTGAGTGTTCAAAGAGAGTCACATAAATTGTCACAGTCGCATTCTTAGCCAGTGCACCAGCAGCCTATCCGACTCTGTGCATGCTTGGGGTTCACAGGGGAAATGAAAGCAAGAAACAGGTCAGGCAAAAATTCAGGGTCAGGTCCCTCTAAGTATGTCAGGACCCTGGTCAGCTCCCAGGTCTGCTCTCAGTGGCCCTGCAGGCTTAGTTTTGGAGTATGTTGTCTCAACAAGACTATCTGGGACCTTATGTAAGCCGGCAAGACCTATGCTGCTATTAGTGAGGACCCAGGGGAAGGTGATGAGCCCCTCACACACAGCAGAGCAGACCATATTCTTCTGTATCTTCCTCATGGTGCAGCAAGGGATTTAGGAGTCCTGACACAGATTGAGTAGGTTGGTGGATCTGACCACCTTAGTTGTCCATTTTACGTTGCACGTGTAGGCGCAGCACTTCCGATTTGCTTGAACTTCTTATCTGGAGATGTTTTAGAAGTATTCCAAGCCATTCATAATAAACCCAGACCCGTTAGAGATCCACGATGAGCCACTGAGGGTGCCATCCATTTGTCAATTAAATGAATTTAGATTGGCAGGTGGTCTTTAGGGTGGGTTTCCTGTTCTCTCCACCACTAGTCAAACTCTGTAGCGGGGAAGAGGAACCTGTGGTTCTCTAGTTGCTGTTGGGCTCCAACTCCATCAACCCCAGCCAGCATGGCCAATGGTGAGGGCCACATTCCCTCATGGGCAACCTTTTCAGGGGCCACATGCCAGTGGTGGGTGGGGCCAGAAGCAAAAGTGAATGGCACAACAAGTGTAAATTTTACCTTTGGACAGTAGCCTAGTTTCTGCATACAGACTCACATATCTTTCTTTAGTCTCCCTCCAGCCAAGCAAGAGACTCTGCAGAGTAATCAAGCACATTCCACCCAGGCAAACTCAAAGAAGGTGTAAAGTGAGGTAGGTGAGGGGTGTGTCCTAGAGAGAGAGGGTATGGCTGGAGAGGAACTTAACATCTGTAACATCTAGCTACTGTATAACATCTCAGCACTGCTCTGAGAACTACAACTATGAAATTTAAGCCTAGCTGCAAGAGCAATACTGTTCAAAGACATATTGAGTCAGAGGGCTCCCAGCTACTGATTGGCCCCTGTCTTCATCAAACCACAGTTTTAGCCATGCTTGTGTGATCTGGGCAGTTGCTGTTCAAATCTTGAATGGCCTAAAGGACCACACTGTGGAAACCTTGCTGAAGCTCAAGAAGGTTTGGGCTTGTCAGTGCCTGGAAAAGAACCCACTCTCAAACCTTATTTATATTGCCTTGAGATACACAATGGAAGGAATGAACCATATGGTTTGCTTGGCATGGGCTGTTGCACACATTAAAGGGACCCCTGACCATTAGGTCCAGTCGTGACCGACTCTGGGGTTGCGGGGCTCATATCGTATTGGCCGAGGGAGCCGGCGTACAACTTCTGGGTCATGTGGCCAGCATGACTAAGCCGCAGCAACAAATGCAGAATTGCCATGAAGATTATCTTCAAAAGGGATCTGCAGCCAGTCCAGATCCTCTGGATTCCTCCATCTGCAAGATGGGGGTGAGGGATAATAATACCTCCTTGCCTTGCAAGGTTGTTGTAATAATCACAAAATACATGCAGAAAGGTTTGAGCACTCGAAAGTGCTATCCAGTAATGATAATGATGCTTTAGCTATACAGCTTAAAAATGTACTGTGTAAAGTGGTCATAAGATCAGAAGTCCCAGGGAAGTCCTAATACGACTCCAATGAGCTCAATATTTTTGATAAACATTCCAAGAGGGACATGTCAATTTAGTGAAATAACCCAGTACTTAAAAAGCATCCTCACCCCCCCCCCAGCCCTTAAAGTCAAACACATAGAAAAGCATCTTCACTCTTTCCCAGTTCCCTGGGGCTTGGCAATGGATAGCTCTGTGAAAACAGCTGTGATGGAAATAACAGTGGAGAAAGCCAATGAGTGATGCTCCTGCTGAAATCTTGAATAGCAACATTCAGGCTGAATACTAAAACTTCCAAGCAAGCTGCCTTTCCCCTCCACTGACATCCAGATAGCAGCCTCCTTTCTCTAGGGTAGCCCCAGGATACATGTTTTGCTTCTCTTTGCTCAGACATACAAACACACCACCCTGACACAATGTATTATGCCCCTCTTCCCCCTTTCTCCCCATACTATCTCAGAGAGGGAAAGGCTTCAGACATGATTGTGATAGTGCATAAATAAATCCTATGGCAGGCTGATCTCCCTAACATAAAATGGAACCTAGGCAAAAAGAAGTGAGGCATTAGCTACCCCTTCCAGTTTGGTGTCACCTGCGAATTTGATGAGCATACCCTCAATTCCTTCATCCAAGTTGTTTATAAAGATGTTGAACAACTATAAGTTCCCTTCATCCACCAAGCTTGTAACTCTATCAAAAAAAACCAATAACAATGAACTCTGATTCTTCTGGCATGACTTGTTTTTGAGAAACCCATGCTGGGTCTTAGTAATCACTGCATCCTTTTCTAAGTGATCACAGACTGACTGTTGAATTTTCTGTTCTAGGACCTTTCCTGGTATAGATATCAAGCTCACTGGTCAGAAATTACCTGGGACTTCTTTTTTCCTCTTTTTGAAGATGGGGACATCCACCCACTTCCAGTCTTCAGGGACTTCACCTGTTCTCCAAGAATTCTCAATGATTATAGGCAGAGGCTCTGATATTACATCCACAAGCTCTGCCTTCCTCAAAGGAATAAAGTCATAGAGGGCAGCAAAATGGAGGCAGGGGGAGGCTGGCAAAGCACTTGAAAGGCATGGAGAGTCAATTCATGGGAACGAAGGAAGCAGTGAGAAAACGGGAAAATGAGAGAGAGCTCATGAAACAGAAAAAGAGTGACTCAGAGTAGGTGTTGTTGGTTCATACAAAAGGCAAGCAGATAATGTCTAAAATGTTCATTTGGATTTTAAATTGTATTTGTATTGCTTTGTTTATTTCTTATTGCATTTTATTATATTGAAATTTGAATTTTGTACATATTTCTTTTTTAAAAAACAAAAAACACTTAGCATCTAGCACAGCATTACCATTACAACAGGCAGAAAAATCATTAAATTTTCCGACAAGACCCTTAGCTATATTCAAGTAGCCCCGTGAGGGTGGTGGTGGGGTGCTGGAACCACTGCTCCACACTTTCTGTATTGTATACTGATTACAATGACATTGTAATTGCTGTTTTTTTAATAATGCAAAGCATCCTCCCTGCAACTGAAAACCCTGATAATGCAGAAGTCCCATTTGCATGGGGAATTCTTACCTTCTGTTGTTGTTTTGTAATTCCTATCAATGTGTTTTGATTTATAAGCCACATAGAGGTCATTTTTTTAATTAAGGAAAAACAATATCCAAAAATGCCCAGTATGTAAGTAATTCTTGAACAGGGCTTTGGACAAGATATGTTGAAGATTTAAAAAACAACAACCCACTGGTATTGTACTTTAGAATGATAACAGTACTTCATGCTTTCACAGTAATCTTCACAACAACTCTGTAATGTCGACTAGTATTCAGCTCCCCATTGCGGGGGCTGCAGCAGAGAAACTGTGACTTATCTCAGACTGCTTAATGGCTAAAGCAAAAACTGAACTGAGCACATTCTGATTTGTCACATAGGTGTTTTTTTTTACCTCTGTGCAATCCTAGCTCTTGATGTTTACAATGGCATATACAGGAGGAGGAGTAATCTGAGTACTGAAAGTGGGCAAAGGACTGCTGTCTAGGTTTTTGTTGCACGGTTGTTGAAATACTCAAGAGTACTGAACATCCAACATGATGCTTGAACAAACCTTTGAAATCCTTTGCGTAATTTTGCCAATATCATCTCCCTCCACCCTGAGCAAAGCCTACAGTTTGCAAATTCAGCTCTTTTAATAAAAGACTGTCTTGTGTATAATGCACAGGAAGACATAAAGACCGAGGGGCTCATAGACAAAGTTATTCAACACTGGAGAGAACTATATATATATATGTGTGTGCTTAAGTAAGGTCTGTCTATAAAGGGGCATTTAAAAAAAAAAAAAAAAGTATACATGTGTTAGTTACATATTTTTATTCCCACCCCCAACTCCTTTGATATAATGGCATAATCGGTGGAGAACCCCTCTGGCACAAGCCTTATTAACATGGCTGGGAGTTGAACAAGAAATTATCTCCCCGGGAGGAGCTTTCAGAGAGCGTGAGCCTGCAGGTCAGCTCTTCATAATTTATTAGATTAAAAAGAAGAAACCTCAGCAATATGAAACCCCAATGAGTTTCTAATAGCTGTTCCAATACGAATGAGTGAGCAAACAGCACAGGAAGGGAAGGCAGAGAGGGCGATCCCTTGATACTCCGTAACAAGCAGAAAGAAATGTCCGGGATAGATTCTTCCTGTCTTTGAGCAAAGGGGGAAAGGGGGATAAGTAGGCAGTGATAAACTCTCAAAGAGCTGGGAATATTGTCAGTACTGTTGTTGTATTGTACTGTACTACAATACTGTAATGGTTAGACTTGGACTAGGGCCTAGGAGTAAGGTAAAGGTAAAGGGACCCCTGACCATTAGGTCCAGTCGTGGCCGACTCTGGGGTTGCGGTGCTCATCTCGCTTTATTGGCCAAGGGAGCCGGCGTACAACTTCCGGGTCATGTGGCCAGCATGACTAAGCCGCTTCTGGCGAACCAGAGCAGTGCACGGAAACGTCGTTTACCTTCCCATCGTTTACCTATTTATCTACTTGCACTTTGACATGCTTTCAAACTGCTAGGTTGGCAGGAGCTGGGACCGAGCAATGGGAGCCCCGTTGCGGGGATTCAAACCGCCGACCTTCTGATCGGCAAGTCCTAGGTTCTGTGGTTTAACCCACAGCACCACCCACATCCCTAAGGGCCTAGGAGACCAGAGTTCAAATCCCCACTCTGAAGCTCAGTGGGTGATCTTAAATCAATCATGGTCTCTCAGCCTAACCTACACCGCAGGGTTGTTGTGTGGGTAAAATGGGGAACGGAGAATCATGTACACTACCTTGAGCTTCTTGGAGGAAAGGTAGGATTTGGATGTAATAAATAAATATTTCATGTTGCCTGCTGGTTTTCAAGGTAAAAAGAAAATGTGGGCAGAATGTTTGCCTAAAGTTTCCAAACTTCTGAGATTTGGCCAAGCCTGATTTGGCACCACCAGCTTTCTATATTCTATTCTGGTACCTCTTTCTGCTGTGTTCCTGCTCCTTTCGCTGTGGTTTCTGGCTTCATTGATGTTATTGGCTTTTTAATTCTGTGAACACCTCCATGAACCCTTCATCAGCCAATCACAAGCAGTGCGACGACATTGTCCCACAACAGTGGTGCAGACAAATGTCTTCATCATATAATGGCATTTGTGAACATGAGCAAAAAGGTTTTTTTAATGGGGGGAATAAAAGAAGGTTTTTAAAAATTGATGGTGTTTTCAGTAAGTGACAAAAAGGCAGAAACCATGTAGAGCAGTTTCAACACAGCTGTACCTTCCTTTGACCAACCTGAGTGCCTGTAAAGGTCATTAAAAACTGTTCAGCTTATCCACAGAGACTGTACAGTACTTTGAGGTTTTTGAAGGCATGTTACTATTGGAATGCAAGTGCTGATTTTAAAATATTCATGCCTAAGTGATTAATTCCTGATTAGCTTTTCCTGGGGATGTGGGCTCTTTTTTATATGCTCTTCTGAAGATGCAATATACCTTTTTTATATATAATAAACATCAGCTTTCATTCTTCATGCTTACTTCTTTGCCGTCAAAAATGCCAGTACAGTCATAATGGTATGTGTGGCAGATTACTGATGATGAATTATGAAAGATTAGCCTTTGGGGTACTTCAGCACTGGACAGCTCCTCAATACATGCCAATGCTGGCCAGTAGAAAACTTTCTATATGCTCACATCTCACTGGAACAATATGCTGCTCAATTATACTGATGTGTTGTCACTGATATTATCATGGTTACTCCAGAGTAGGGGTAGGCAACCTAAAGCCCGGGGGCCAGATGTGGCCCAATCACCTTCTCAATCTGGCCCAAGAATGGTCTGGGAATCAGTGTGTTTTTACATGAGTAGAATGTGTGCTTTTATTTAAAATGCATCTCTGGGTTATTTGTGGGGCATAGGAATTTGTTCATTTCCCCCACCCCAGCCAAAAAATGAATATATAGTCCAGCCCACCACATGGTCTGAGGGACGGTGGACTGGCCCACGGCTGAAAATGATTGCTGACCCCTGCTCCAGAGCATATGGTCAGTAAATGTTGTCATGCCTTCCTTTTAATAAATGGCACTAAAAAACTGTGCATACATTTATCATGTGACACATTGCAAAATATATCCTCCAGCACAGAATGCCATTGTTTTTTCCTACATTATCCTGAGACTACCCATCTTAAAATAGCAAGTTTTTAAATGGGATGCAGCCTTCATTTCATGAAGAGAGGCATTCATAACTTCCACAGGCAACAGTCCACGTCTCTCCTGCTGGCTGCAGCATGTTTGCAGGAGACAAGTGAAAGAGTGACTGGCCAAATATACTGTCAGGATCCTGGGGTTACAGCAACACACAGTGACCCAAGCAAATATGGCATGCATCTGCTGTAGATGATTCTGTTTCAGACTTAGCTTCAGCAGAAGTATATAAGTTGTAGTGGTTGTGAATGGTTTCATCCACCAAATGCCTGTGAATACTGCAAGGGGCCCGTGGCATCACAACATCTGAACATGGAAAACCAGGCTATATAGGTCCCCTCCTGTCTTATAATGGGTCTACAGAATTGGGTCTACAGCATTGCACAGACACAACAGTGAAGGACAAAGGACATTTTAGCACCAGCACTGCCACATCAAATGTATTCAAGATGATTTGAGATGGTCAGTTAGATTCAGCATAAGGCTTCCACCTTTTCTGTTCTTGCTTTAATATCCATTATTCTCCATAAGCAAACTGCCAGAGAAGGATGCATATGATGGCGGTGGAGTCCCCCTCACCAAAGGTGCTTTTCTCAGCTTTAAATCATTCATACTTTGAATTCTGCCACTGGCCAAGGCCCCAATGGCAAGGGAGTGACCAACATGGCTGCATCCATTGGCCAGTGAAAGAGAAACTGTTCCACTGCTTGCTTTTCTCTTCTTTTCCCTTCCCATACCCTTTTTCTTTTGTGTCATGTCTACTTGATTGCAAGCCTATTCACAGTGCCTGTCTTATATTTTAATCTATGTTCAGTGCTTAGTAAGTGTTAGATGTGGAGGAGGACGAGAAAACAACCAGATGTATGTTGAGCGGGTGCCACAGAGCGATTGTATCAATGGCCTGTGTCAACAATTTCAAAAGCTGACAGGCCATTGACAGAAAAGTTAATGATGCCAAAAGACAATTCCTCAGGCAAATTCTCAGAACCAGTCAAAAGCATAATGTCTAGGACAAAACAGTTGATCTGATCTTCCACTCCCCAAGAAATTAAGGGTCTTTGGGAACTGGGCATCCAGGCACTGACAATATATAGATTGCTTGATTCTAGGCTGGTGCAGAATAACAGAAGCTTCCTCTTCTCCCCACTAGGTATTTCGCCTTTGTCATACCCAGTGCTTTTTCTCTGAGGGTACTCAAAGGTATGCAGTACCAGCACTTTTTTTTCCTAGAAGAAAAACACTGGTCATACCAATCTATAACAATACAGGCTTGTCTTCTAGATTCTAGGAATGGTGAAACATTTATCAAGTAGCTAGTACATAAGGAAATCGTGTAGCATTGACTATATCAGCTTTCTTTTCATAAACACAGTACTGCTTTTATGACTTTCCAAAGAAAATTAGCAATAAAATGAATCCACAACCCATACTTGGGGGTTTTTGGGGTAGGGGGATGAATGAGTGAATCAAGGGCTATAAATTGCTATTGAAATGAGTTTCCTTCTAAGCTCTGTCAGTGCTGCTAAACTAATGTCCTTAGTGGAAGGCAGAGAGGTTTGTTTTATGAGCAAGTGATATGAATCAACATGAACAATCACATGGGTTGTTTTGTCTTAGGAGTGGAGGGTGTTATTTTTAAGATGCTGGGAGAAAGCAGCAATCTATCGGTCTCTCCTTCTCCCTCCCTGCCCACCTCCATTTTCCATTTCCATCTGCTATTATAAATAGTTTCCTTCTGGAGCAGAACAGCTCTCATTTCCCAGTTAGAAATTCTGCAGTCTTTCACCAAAACAGAAAAATAAACGCTCAAGCCCCTATCAAACTGCCACTGAGCAAGGCAGTTCAAGATTCGAGATGGCAGAAATGTTCCACTACAAAGACATTGCACAGCAAAAGTATGGCTGAGTAATTTCCAGGGGGATGGATGCAACTTGTCCAGCTCACTTTCCCTATGGCACTTTGGTGCAAAATCAAAATCTTGTTTCAAGGTGGCTGCATGCATCTCCCCACCTCCCCTGTCTCTCGTATGTTCATGAGCAGTTCTTTCGGGTTATGAGTTCTTAAATGCCTTCTCTCGTCCAACTTCCCAGCCCCTCCCCTGTCTCCTAGTCTCTGCACTAGCTGGTTGTTTAATCTTTCTTTATCTTAAGAGCAGCTTTAATATTCTGGTCCACAGTAGCAAAAAAACACAGCTGGCAGCAGTGAGGCAGTCAGCTGGCAGGGACAATGGTGAATGAGCAACAGTGGAGAAAATGTCATCTTTAGCAATAAAAGACACATACAATTGTAAGCTCTGTCTCTCAGAAAATCCCTAGTTGAATGGGCCACTTTACCCAGTTACTGTGGGGGCTTCCATTTTGTTTTGTTTTTCATCTGTGCTTCTTGTTATTCCTACATATATTGGTTGTGTGCATGCTGGATTTCTCCAGGATACAGTGGCATACAAAATCAGACCTGTGATCCATCGAGTCAAGTATCGTCTAGTCTACTGAGTGGTAGGCTTTGCCTGGAGCACAGTAGAGCAGTCGCCACCAGCCTAGAGTCCTCCAGATGTTCTGGAGTACAACATCCATCAACTCAGTTCTTGTGTATTCACTCTACCTTTAGCTGCGTAAGTGCCTTGAGTGCCTGTAGATCAGGCCTGCACAACTTCTGTGACCAACAAAGGTCAATGCAGTGAAGGATTGCCAACTCTTGAAATATAACATATGGGGACCTGGGCAGTGTCTGCAATGGTGCCTGTGGGGTCATAGACTAATGCTATATTAGTCTATGTTGTGGTTATTTGGTGTGTCTGCAAGATCATTTCTAGCCAGCAATAACACCCACACACAGTATCGACTGACATTGAGTCTTAGAAGCTTTCAGAGCAAACAGAAGAGCTATTTATTCACTCAGGCTTTTGGCTGTGTCGCTGTACTTCACAACAAACTTTTTTGACTGTGTGCATAGCTGGATCAACATGGCAAACGAAATGGAAAGGAACAGGGACCCTGAGTGCTTGGGAAGCCTCAGTATGCAGTATGGGGAAGATGGAGAGCTGACCTGTCTCCGTACAAGTATACAGATCAACACATCCCCCATCTAGCAATGCACAAATGGCTAAAACCAAGTTGAAAACTACATACACTCGAGTTCTACATTCAAGACGATCGAGTTCTATATGGGCCATGGGCAGCCTATGCTTAGATTGGGCTAGAGCTACATGTAATGTGAGTGATAAAGGGTAAACTCACAATGTGGTGGCAGCCTGGAGCAACCAATCATGCAGGTTACAGAAGCAGCGGAACTCTCAGAAGCCTGGAGGCAGAGGACTGCAATGCCTACACACACACACACACACACACACTCCTCTTCCCTGTGCCTTGACTAGGATATTGCTCTCAGAAGTGTTTCAAAGTCCTGCTCAGAAAGAGGGATGGGGTTGAAGTACATGGAGCTGCTATGTTGTTAGATTACTGGTCTATATGGCCCAGCTCTGTGTATTTATATTTATATTGTGTTTTTTATATTTTGTTGGAAGCTGCTCAGAGTGGTTGGGGCAATCAGTGCCAGTTGGAATAATACTAATACCAATCCATCTAGTATTGATTTATCAGCATCCCAGGGAAGACTTTTCTTAAGCCCTGCTGCCTGGGATCCATTTAACCTGGTGCCGGAGCAGCAAGCTTTTCCCCATCACGGGTCACATTGCATTAGGGTAATCTCTTGGGGATTGCAGGCTGGTGGTGGGTGGGGCCAAAGCCACACATGCATAGAGAAGGGCTAGCCAGATGTCATTGGACTACAAGTCTCATTGGCCTTGATTGTTGGCCACACTGGCTGGGGCTGTTGGGAGTTGTCACCCAGCAACATCTGAAGGGCACCACATTGGCCAGTCTTGATATAGATCTCAGAGCTATATTTGATTCCAGGGTCACAGGTTGTTGCCTCACTCATACCAGTTTCACCTGAGATCTCAGGGACCTCACCTGGGGCCTTCTGCCTGCCATTCCTGTGCTCTGAGCTATGTCTCCCCCCTCCCTGCCTGGCTGGACCTAGATGGTGACAGAAAACAATTGTGCAGAAGCAGCAGTGCTTGTGGAGATACAGAAGCCTATGAAGCCTGGGAACGCTGTTCAAATTCCTTTGCCCAATAATGAATTGTAATCTCCTTTCCATTAAGGGTACGAAACAGTTGCTCCAGGTTTGTACATCGGCCTCAATTTAATGCATCGGGGTTTATTTCTTCTTCAAATGAATTTGTTTTCCCATCAATGGCAAAAGCTAGACAAATAATATAATACCACGAGAAGGGCAAAAGGGAGCTCCAGCAGAGAGGGAAATTGAGATTTTTCTTGATCAGAGCTATGGTAAATTAGCCAGAATGAAAGCGAGGAAAGGGAGGGGAATGATTAGAAAAGGGAAGACGTGCAGAGCCAAACCTATTTACTTGGCATCTGAATGTGCTTTGCAATGCGAAGGAACTCTCAAGTAGTGGGCAGGAGGTGTTTGTTCTGCGGGCTGGATGTGTTCATGCAAACGCAACCGATCCACAGAAATCACTTATAAAGCTGTACAAGGTGTAGGACAGAGCGAGGAATCTTTCTATGGCCAACAACCACATTACCCCAAAGGTAACCTCGCAGAGGCCGCATGCCACTGGCGGGCAGGGCCACAGGCAAAAGTGGGTGGGACAACAGATATGACTCTGACCCTTTCTACAGTAAGGTACATTCCAGGCATGCACAAAATAACGATAACCAAAGGTTATAACACAAAGACACCGCCATCTATGCAAGCAAGAGACATGCTCACATTTCAGCCAGGGAAAAGCACTCAAGGAAGTTGCAGACCAGGTGCCAAGGAGGACTCCAGCCTGGGAAAGCTCCTGAGCTTCATAGAGAGGGCATTGGAAAGATGTCATTTGGCTGTGGCTGATGGAAGTCCAACATCTGAAGGGTCACTGGTTTTGCCACTCCTGTACCAGATCCTTACAATTTCAGGCTGCATAGCTCAGCTGGTAGAACATGAGACTCTTAATCTCAAGAGCTGTGGGTCTGAGCCCCATGTTGGGCAGAAGATTCCTGCATTCCAGGGGGTTGGACTAGATGGCCCTTCCAATTCTACTATTCTATTATTTTAAATTGTAGGAATGAAACATTCTTCTATTTTAATGCATTCAGAGGAACAGAAATGTGGTTAAACTCGGACACATTTGAGAAACACCACTGAAGAAGGTATGTTGCTGCTCTGGTGTAGTGGAGCCAGTGCGGTGTAGTGGTTAAGAGTGGTAGACTCGTAATCTGGTGAACTGGGTTTGCTTCCCCGCTCCTCCACATGCAGTTGCTGGGTGACCTTGGGCTAGTCACACTTCTCTGAAGTCTCTCAGCCCCACTCACCTCACAGAGTGTTTGTTGTGGGGGAGGAAGGGAAAGGAGAATGTTAGCCACTTTGAGACTCCTTCGGGTAGTGATAAAGCGGGATATCAAATCCAAACTCCTCTTCTTCTGGTTCTTTCAACCAAGACTTCTCCCCAAACACACACACACACAGAGAGAGAGAGAGAGAGAGAGAGAGAGAGAGCCTGTAGACAAACCCACTTTCTCTTAACTATTGGGCTTGCTTTCAAGAATGACATATGGAAATTACGCACAGGCAACATCCGTCGGTGCAATTAATGGACTTTTCTCTATAGTCTAACAGCAACATTTGGGAAACATATGGCTGACCTGGCAGAGATGTGGCCTCTCTGGAGGCAGGAAAGCATCCTAGTTTATTCCATATACATATATGATAGTAGTGGTGAAGAAGAACCAACTGCTTTAAGGGGTCCCATGTATGTATATGGGGAACCGTAAGGGCTTGCCACCTTTCAAATCAGGATTACCGGTAAGTAGGTAACCCCTGGCCTGAGCATCCCCCGCCCAAACAAATTTTCCTGTAGGACCTCATCAATTGTGAAAGAAAAAATAATAAAGTAGGCTCACCACTGGGGCGGTCAGAGGTGGTGTCCTCTGTTGGTGCTGGTGAGTGCCATGGCCAGTATTGGCATGCAGCCCCTGGAGGGTTGGCCATAGGTGGATGTGGCCCTTATACAACATATAAGTGCAGAGACTGCTCTTACCGTGCCTTTTATAGCAAGCGGTAGCTGCGTGGCAAAGCATTTGCTTTGCACACAAAAGGACTTACGTTCAGTCCCTGTAAGGCTGACTGAAACCCTGGAGAACTGGGACCAGTCAGTGTAACGAATACTGAACTAGATGGACCAATAGTCTAACTCAATACTGGGCAGTTTACTCCATTTCTAAACTTGGCAGCTGGAGCCATTTCTCCCATGCTTCATTGCCATGCTAGGAAACTTTTTGCTATCTCGCTGCCTGCATTATAGCCTAATACAATAATCTGATGTATGCATGCCATACATTTCAAGCACATTCAAAGCAAATGGTTTCCCCCTGAAAATAATGGGGACTGTAGCTCTTTGAGGGGTAAACTGCTCACCCATGCTCTATAGGTTGAAGGGGGCTGATTTCACGCTCCCTTTTTTAAAAAAATGCCACAATGGCACTAATCTTGCCAAATCAGAATTTAGAACTGTGTGGCACCTTACACTTCCTACCAGTTCAGCATCTCCATGGTGAGTCTATTTATTGATTTTAAAATATCTAATAGCAATCCATCAGGCACCCACTGTTCTCTTAAAATGGAATCTGACTTTATTGTTGGTGCTGACCACGTACGCTGTACAATTTACTATTTTCCTTTCATTTTTAAATGCATTTTAAATCTCTGTGACTGTATTGAGTTTCTGGTTTTTAAATGCCTGAAAGGTTGGCTGGGAAAGTGTAATAAATTATGTTTTTAAATTACAATTTATATGCCACCTTACTAAAAATAAATATATAGGCCTCCCAAGTGTCTTCTGAGAAATCGTCTTTTTTTTTTTTAAAGAAATCATACTAAAATGTGCACTGAAGAGAGACAAGGATGCAAACGTAACAGTGAAAGCTCATGGAGCAGTCAAACATTACCAAAAGCTTCAAATAATAAGTTGGCGGCGGCGGGGGAGGCGAACTGATGCCTTAAAGTTAAAAATGCAGACATAACAAATAAAGCCCAGGAAGCTGTTCCAATGCCTGGGTGTCACCACAAACATGGTTCTGTCTTCAGTAGCCAACCCACCCCTCTCAGCACTGAAGTTGTGGAGCGGGGGTAGGAGACCCTTTTCAACCTGAAGCTCCCTTGTAGGAAAAGTTTTGGGGTCCGTATGCCAGGGGGGGGAAAGTGAGCAGAGCCATAGATGTGATAGCTCAGTTGACGGAGCATGAGACTGTTAATGTCAGGGTCGTGGGCCTGATCTCCATGTTGGGTGAAAGATTCCTGCATTGCAGAGGGTTAGACTAGATGAATCTTGTGGTCCCTTCCAACTCTACAGTTCTATGATTCCATGATACTTACCTTTGGCTACATTCTAGCCCAGGCTTTCAGCCTCGGCCCTCCAGATGTTTTAGTCCTACAACTCCCATGATCCCTAGCTAGCAGGACCAGTGGTCAGGGATGATGGGAGTTGTAGTCTCAAAACATCTGGAGGGCTGAGGTTGAGGAAGCCTGTACTAGCCACACAAAATCCAAAGGTTTCTACACATACACCACATACATTCCCCCCATCCAGGAAAGGAAGAGATATGATCACAATTCAATGACACATCCCAGCCAGGCAAAAGCATTTGGGGGAAGGTGCACAGCAGGAGCTCTGAGGGGTGTGTGACCAGGAGAGAGTCCTGCGGGCCAGATAGAGAGGTCGGAAGGGCTATATTTGCCCCTCCCCCATCTCGGGTTCCCCATCTAGAGCAGGGCATCAGCTGTAATGTGTAAAATGCACCACATTACATGGTGAATTCTGTATACATTAGAGGCTGTCAAGGGTGAGACAGGAAGTCCTGCATTTAGTGTAATGTGAAATCCATATTTTAACCACTTTTCTGACTGAGGAAGCTAGCATCTAGCACCTTTTCCACACATGTCTCAGAGAATTGATGGACCAGACATTTCCCTGGCTCCTGCCTTCTGTAAAAGTTTGGTCCATCCAGGGCCGTCTTTACCCGGGGGTGCAAGGGGTGCGGGGTGCCCGGACGCCAAATTCTGGGGGATGCCAGGCACCAGCCGCTGAAGCCGCCTAAGCTCTTAACTATCTACCTGTTATGAAATAATACATAATTTTGATCAAGGTAGAAAAACAAAATACAGATATACCTACTGTTTCACTAAAGGACTTTCGACTTTGTGCGCTCATTTACAAAAGACCTGCGGTGACAACGGTGACACTTGTCAGACTTGGGGGCGCTGGGTGGATCTTTGCACCCCGGCGGCACATATGCTAAAGACTCCCCTGGGTCCATCTTTGGAGTTGGGTCCATCAGAGAAAGCAAGTATGTGCACCATCCCTCTCTAAACCCTCCATAATCTGGACCTGGCAAGAGTCAGATAGGGTGTTGATTTGGAAATGGCTTTGGTCTGAGCTACCATATATGTATATATATTCTTCTGGGTAATATAGGAGCTGCAGCAGTGTCTCTCCCAACTGATACAGCCCTATAGATTTGCAGAAAGTGGGTTCCATGGGCCATAGTTCAGTGGCAGAGCCCATGTTTTGCATGCAATGATGATGATAGCACTGAGTTGTGGATAAGAGACTGGACCCGTCAGCTGTTTATAGTGCTATTATTATCATGGTCACAATCCACATTCAGTTGGTTCATGAGCTCTCACACATGCACGCATGTTCTAAACGAAACAAAAGATAGGCACCCAATCAAAAATACTAAACAATGCACAGATATGAAAATGAGGTGCAGTCTATCATATTTGGTTCATCAGTTCTGAACTTCTCATGTCAACAAACCGAGTGAATAATGCAGAGCAGAACCTATTCGACATATTTTGCCCTTTTTCCTGTTCATTTATTCTCCCCTAACAGATTGCAAGCTCAAATTTATTCAGTATTCAAAATGATTCATAATTTCTTATGCAGTGAATAACTCAGCCCGAAAAACATTTAAAACTCTGCACTCGACAATGGAGCATGCAATCCACAGCTCACTGAATAACTTAGATAAATATCTGCTCAAACTTAGCAATTTTCAGACCTTTTTAAAGTGAGTAAAGCCATTTTTATTTTTAAAAAACCAGCATATATATATATATATATTTAATCCAAGCAAGGGGCCAAAGGCTCCCACTTGTATCCTGATGACAGTAGCTTGGGGCAAAGTCTCTCTGCACTTATAACTCAGTGACAGAGCATATGCTTTACATCTAATTCCTGACATACCAGATAAAAGGATTGGGTAGCAGTCCCTACTCTGGGGAGCTACTGCCAGTCAAAGTAGACAATACTGGACTAGATAGAGAAATACTCTAAGCTGGTATACGGTACCTTTTTATATTCCTGTGATAGCTACCGACTCCCCACTCAAGATGGCACCTGAGTAATGTGAACAATTCCTGGGTGTTTAAAAGTTTCAACTCTCCACGTTAATAACATTAGAGAGGTCTGTTTTAGCTGATTGTGGTAGCACCTCTTTATTATACTGCAGCCAGGAGTTTTACTTATGGGAAGGATGCCCTGAGTCCACTTATCCCCACACCCAGAGGTTCAGTTTAAAGAAGAGACACTTCTGGAACAAAACTATAGATTTTTTATTTAATTATACTCAGTGAGGGCTTTAAGTTTGATGGTTACTCATGAGAGGCACAATTCATAACTTCAGGTATACACAATACAGAAAACTTCAAAACTTTATTCAGTGCCCTTATTTAAATCTCAGGATAGCCTATTTTTCACCTAATATAGCTATTGATATTCCTACACAAACAGCACTCTCCCAGTCCTTCTGGGATTTTTACTTTTCCTCAGGGAATTGAAGCAGGTTGCCTAGCTAATCCCTATTTCCTATCAGAACAGGTTCCTCTCTTCCCAGGTCCCTATCTAGGTGGCTTTTCCAAGCCCTAACTTATGCCTATCTGACAGTTTAGCTGTAACTTTCTAATGTTTTGGACTTGCCAGACCCTTCTGATTGACTGATGCTCTAACCAGCCCTGATTGGTCTTCTAGGTTTCCAGGAGGCTGACCCAGCACCTTTCCATCACAGCTACCCTCAGCATGAGATGTCAAATCCTTCTTTGCCAAACTGATCAGGTGGTGAATATAGACAAGCTCTGCCATCCTTGCTGCCAAGAAGAATCTCCCCCACCCCACCCCAAACCAGGCTGAAAAAGATCGCATCCTGCTACTGTGGGAAGCAGCACCTGGTTTAATGCTTAGCAGTGCAGAAGGCTCTGCTTCTGACCAGCAGACACCTTGCATGACGTGACAGAACTGCAGAAAATTCTGGCGTGATCTTTTCATTTTTTCACAAGGGCTCCTGCTGAGTCAGAACTGGCACCTTGCGCGCAGCTAATCACTTCTTCTGACTCATCAGGCACAGGCGGGCAGTCTCATTTCATGCTGCAAAAGGCATCAGCCAGAAGGGAGGGGTGACCTGGCCAGCACCCCTCACTGAGCTATGGGAAGGGACTGGACTTCAGAGGTAGATCAGAGGTGGTTCATAGACAGAGAGTGTCAGATTCAATCCCTATCATCTTCAGTTACAAGAGTCAGGGAGTAAGTGAGACTCCAGATAGTGTAGAAAAGTCTGGGCTGGGTGCAGTGCTATTTTTCTAGAAACAGAGCTGCCGGAACTCACCATGAACACCTCTCTTGTTCTCTTATAATGGCAATGGCGCCAACCTGAGAGTTACCAGAATTGAGTTCATGTGAGTTTCAGCTGAAAAAAAGCCCTGGCTGGATGAATCAACACTTTTACCTAGTATCAGGCATCTTCCTCTGTTTGCTTGTTGTTCTGATCCATTGGGTTTTCTGCTATCTAGTGATGGCGATGGCCCAAGAAAGATGGAGACCAACAGGCCAAGAGTTCTAGAATAGAAAGGAAGCTAAGGCTAGGCCCTTGGACAAGAACTAAGACGATGGTTCAGGACCATGGATAGCTTCTAGAAAATCTACCTGGCTCCTAAATAACACATCAGCAACCCAAAATGCACACACGTCCATATAGACGAAACCATTCAGTACTCTGTACTGGGTCAATATGCATTATACTTTGAACACTGCAGCAACTGTTACCACATCCTTCTATTCATCTTCCAGAGAAGCAAGCTCTACATCCACCCAAGGTAACTTATTTCCATCGCTAAATGACTCCAATTAAAGCTTTTCCTCAAACTTCCTTGGCTGTGGCTAGACTGGGAACTTATAGCTCTGTGCACAGTTTCCCCTACATGCAGAAACACAAGCGAGAACTTCTGTTTGGAACATAAGTTTAGAACAGGTAAGGGGCTTCCAGGTATAACAGTTAAGGGTGGCCAGTGGTGATCCAGGAAGGGCTATAAAGCAGGGATGTGGACAACTTGTGGACCTCTGGATGTTGTTGGTCTAGAACATGGGTAGGCAAACTAAGGCCGTATTTGGCCCAATCGTCTTCTAAATCCGGCCCATGGATGGTCCTGGAATCAGTGTGTTTTTACATGAGTAGAATGTGTGCTTTTATTTAAAATGCATCTCTGGGTTATTTGTGGGGCATAGGAATTCATTCATTTTTTCCCAAAAAAATATAGTCTGGCCCCCCACAAGGTCTGAGGAACAGTGGACCGGCCACCTGCTCAAAAAGTTTGCTGACCCCTGGTCTAGAACTCCCATCATCTCTGACCTTTAACCATGTTGACTGAAGCTGATGGGAGCTGTAGTCTAACAATGTCTGGGGGAGCCTCTGGGCTTGTGGGATTTATGTTGTGGTGATTGTTTTTGCTAGAATCCAAGATCTACCAATCAGTCAGATGCAAAAGACATACATTTAGAATTAAAGTCTGAGCCCAGTTCCACACAAAAATCCATTCCTGATCACATAAAGCTTTCTTAATTTCAGCTGTATAATTGGGGGTGGGGGTTGTAGCGGGAGCATCATTTTGTTGCTGCTATTGTTAAACAATTGGGAGTCAGTAAACTCTTGATGCGCTGTGCAAGTCACCCAGAGAAACCAATGGCTTCAAGTTACAAGAAAGGAGATTCTGACTAAACATCAGGAACAACTTTCTGGTGGTGGGAGCTGTTCAACAGTAGAACAGACTCCCTTGGAAGGAGGTGGACTCTTCTTCATTGGTGTCAGGAGTCCCAGTTCCATCTTGATAACACAGCAAGCTAGTTAATTAAAAAGGAAGATGTATTGCAAAAAAAAAACAGAGTTCGCCGGACGGCTCTAACAACCCGCCAGCCTCATCAGTCATGATGACCCTTCTGAAGACTGCTTCCTGCGAGACCAGAAGCAACTGAACTTTCTCTTCTGACGTCTCTTGTTTTGCTTCCTATCTTGGAGTCCTCCCATTCGCCAAGACCTTGGACTGAGAGAGTCAGCTCCCACCTCTTCCCTATTCTCTGAGGGGCTGTCTCTTAGCTCTTTCTCGCCTGATAAACTGCTTCCTTCACTGTTTGCGGCATTTTTCACTTCTCAAGAGCTTTGGCAGGGTTCTGACTTGCTCTCAGTCATTCCCTTATCAATTCACATTCCAAGTTGGCACTCATCAATGCTCATCCTGCCTGGCAGTTAACCCTCTCTGTTCCTGGCTGCTTCCTTCAGCTGGTTGCAAACCATCCCTGGGATCTGACTGTAAACCTTACATGGGGGCTGGCTCATTCATGACAATTGGATGTTTTTGAGCAGAGGTTGGATGGTCATCTGTCCAAAATGCCTTAGTTGAGATTCCTGAGTTGTAGGGGGTTGGACTAGATGACCCTTGATATCCCTTCCAATTCTAATATTCTATTATTCTGTGAATGATCTACCATCTATGATCCACATCTATGATCTACCATCTATGATCCACCATCTATGATCCACATCTGTCTTCTGATCATCCCTAGTCTGCAATGATCTAAAATAATAAAAAATGAATATTCATAAATGAAATTATTATTGAACAATAGGTGAAATAAACAGAACAAGAGTAAAAATGTCTGCCTAGCAGGATTGGCCCAGATGTGTTCTGACCAGTGCTTTTTTCTTTAAAAATGTTTAGGGGTACTCTCATTTTCCTACTCATATTGAAATACTGCCCCTCAATGAGGCCAAACTTAAATTCACAAAATGTTTAGGTGTATGCGTACCCCTGCTTCCCCCAGAAAAAAGCACTGGTTCAGACACTTTAAAAAGCACCATCTAAGGAAAGCAACCCAGCTGGTTTTAATGGGATATTTAAAAAGCAAGAATTAAAAAACGGAGCACCCCCTTGGATAGCCTTTTTCTTCTTAAGCACTTCTAAAAATGGAACACGACCTTTGGCTTCATGTGTCCACCCAAAACCATAACAAAAAAAGCCAAAGAGGAGGAATCCCTGGAGATGAAAGGAATAAAAGTGACAGCCACAAATTGCCCATTCCATGAACATGTCAAAATTGCTCAGGGGGAAAAAGGCACAAAGCAAAAAAAAAAGTCAGGGCTTGTGATTTTAAAAAAAACTTGTTTTTTTCAAAAACAGAATTTAAAAAACAATTTTAAATGCAATTGCTGGAGGTGCTACGAATGAAAACAGCAAAAAATGCCAGAGTAGGATGTGGGAGACAAGGAGTCAAACCCCCAATCTTACCATGAAGCTCACTGGGAGACCCTGGACCAGGCACCAACCCTCAGCCTAACCTACTCTACAGGGTTGGCATGAAGCTAATAAGGAAAGGGACCCAGCATCTCCTTTGGGAGTTCCAAAGTCCTGTTAATGGTAGCCAGGCATGTACCTGTGAGTCAGAACGAGGGACGTGGCCACCCCCATGTGCAATAATTCCTTGGATTTCAGCCCCATCACTCAGGGACAGATGCATATTGAGTGTGCGTGTAGGTAGATCCACGCAGGCTGGCACAGTTGAGAGCATCAAGGTATGCCATGCTTCTCCAGGTGCAGCAAGTGGGAGACTACAACCTGTTCTTTCACCCATTGTGTTCTGCTCTGCAGTGTAACAGGTAGTGCGACTCATGCAACACGTTGGCAATTAATATACACAGAATAACAAATTATACATTCTTTATCAACCTTCTGAGAAAAATACAAAACATTAAACAAAGCCACAGAGACTACCCAGCCTAAGATGAACTTATAACGTCTGGTTTCAATAGATTTTTCAAATGCTTAACTCAGTCTTTTAGATAAGTTCACGAAGATACCAACAAAAGGTAAGTTTGGTGTTATTCACAATACCGAGAGATGCTAGTGGAGTTGTAGATAGATGTTAATGAAGTTGTAGACAACAGGGTGCCGGCGTTTTGCACCTGTTTCGCCCTGGCAGTCCAAGTAATCAAGAGGCCGCTGTTCGCCCCCAATGGGGCCCTTTAACCGGGGCTTGCAGGTAGCACACACCCAAGATACCGTATTTTTCGCTCTATAAGATGCACCAGACCATGAGACGCACCTAGTTTTTGGAGGAGGAAAACGAGAGAGAAAATATTCTGAATCCCAGAAGCCAGAACAGCAAGAGGGATCGCTGCTTTCGCTGCACAGCAATCTCTCTTGCTGTTTTGGCTTCTGGGATAGCTGTGCAGCCTGCATTCACTCCATAAGACGCACACACATTTCCCCTTACTTTTTAGGAGGGAAAAAGTGAATCTTATAGAGCAAAAAATACAGTAGTTTTCCGGGCTTCTTCGGTGGTCTAATCTCAAAGTCTTGATATGTATATTGATATTCAGTCTTATAGAGAATACTCTTTCTTGGCTTAAGCTTAAGAGACTGATCTGCAGTGTAACAAGGCAAGACCCAATCAGGGTGCAAGACAATGCAAGGCTCACCAGGCAAGGTGGGACAAGATTCAGGCTCTGTTCTTGGGGGGACTCAGAGCTCTCAAATTGTTCCAGCAAGCAACAAGCTGAACCCTTTAGTAGTAGGAGCAGGTGCAGCTATCACCACCTGTGCTGCAGGACACCCTTCAACGTACAGGGCCCAACCTTCTCTAGTCATCTCCTACTGTGACAGAGCATAGGAGCCTTAGGTCTTCCTGAGTGTTCTGCCATGGAGTCCTCCATGCCAGAGGACAGCAGTGCCACATCCTCAGGCAGAGAAGAAGGGGGCATTGGCCTTGAAGGTTCATTTGAGGGCACTTCTGGGGGCTGGTCCTCCATGCCTTTCTCCTTCCCCTGAAGATGAAGAGTCCAGCTTCAGGGCAGTGACATACTGCAGCTGAAGAAGTCTATTATGAACTTCTAAGCATGGCAATGTAGCATAGGACAGTTATGTTTTCCTAGTACATATTTAGGGAAAAGAACAAGATGGGCTATTGCAGAGTAAATGAATACAGCAAACAAACCACGCATAGGGTAGAGGCTTCTGCAAAGTGTAACTGAGGAGGAGGAAGACGGAATCAGGCAGTGATGCTTCGTGTCGCTAGCATCTTTTGCTGGGTGTTTAAATTCACCCCTTCCTTCCTTTCTTCTTCGCATACCTTTTTTAGTCTAATTTTATCTGGCATTTTACACGTGGGCTTGGCTTCGCTATCTGTATCCTTGGAACAAGAGGCATATAAATAAACTATCTGAACCCTGGTGATTCATCTTCTCTGCCACCTCGGGAAGTTCAGGACAACCTTTACAGAGTTAAGTTTACTTTAGAGGAGGGCGGGCTGGCTTGCGGTACCTTTGAAATCAACTGCGTTTTTCTTTATAAGCATACAAGTTCAGCCAGAAGTATGGCAAAAGCAGGAGCAAGAATGCTGGCAGGCTGTGCAAGTCCCAAAACAATGTCAGCACTTTGGAATACAAGGGTTCCTAATTTGAGTGGCTAGCTCAGTTGGTTAGAGCATGGTGCTGATGATACCATGGTCACAGGTTCAATTCCTGTATGGGACAGCTGTATATTCCTGCATTGCAGGGGTTAGACTGTTAGAATTCCTGCTCCATGATTGCAGTCATGGGATTTTTTGTCTATCACATGACGGTATATGTTTTGACTCTACAGAGTGGGAAGTGAAGGAAACAGGATGTTTGTGTTACTGTGTTCCGTGAAGTGGGACTACTGTCCTTTGTTCTTTCTCTTTGCTGTTGATGCTAGAGAGAGAGGGAGCCATGTTTCAGTGCTCCGTGTGTGTTTATATGTTAATACAGTGGTACCTCGGGTTACAGACGCTTCAGGTTGCAGACGCTTCAGGTTACAGACTCCACTAACCCAGAAATAGTACCTGGGGTTAAGAACATTGCTTCAGGAGGAGAACACAAATCATGCTCCAGCGGCACGGCGACAGTGGGAGACCCCATTAGCTAAAGTGGTACCTCAGGTTAAGAACAGTTTCAGGTTAAGAACAGACCTCCAGAGCGAATTAAGTTCTTAACCCAAGGTACCACTGTAAAGTAGATTAGTCAAAATGCTGAGTTGCTGAGGTCTGTTATGCAAGCTGCGAATACTCTGCAGATCCCTAAGTGTGCCAGTGTCAGTTGGCATCGGTCGCTGCGATGTCCGGGCTGAAGAAAGCTTTTGAAGCTCCCGAACGATCAACCAGGAGGGAGAGAACATGCCAGTTGGGCATGTGTCTCTGCCAGGGTCCTACTCGAGTGTAGGAAGAGCTCCTGACATAGACTAGTTGATCCTTGGGGTCCCTTCCAACTCTACAATTCTATAATTTTCCCCTTCAATTAACTTTTCCATGCAAAGCACATGCGTGTCCACTAAGCTGCTGCCCCTCCCTGCCACCCAGCACCTACTTCGCTGCCTTTCGGCAAAGAATCTTTCCATTTCCCCAAGCTTTTAAAGACCTATTCTTAAGTCCTGTTCTCTGCTTTGTTAATTTTCACTTGTTCAGATTTTTATTGTTTGGGTGGGGGTGATATATACACACACACACACACACACACACACACACACACATACATACAGTGGTTAAGTACTTAATTCGTTCCAGAGGTCCGTACTTAACCTGAAACTGTTCTTAACCTGAAGCACCACTTTAGCTAATGGGACCTCCTGCTGCCGCTGCGCCGCCAGAGCACGATTTCTGTTCTCATCCTGAAGCAAAGTTCTTAACCTGAAGCACTATTTCTGGGTTAACAGAGTCTGTAACCTGAAGCATATGTAACCTGAGGTACCACTGTATACATATACATATATGCGCAACATACTCAGTTCATTTTTATTGATTTCTTTTGTCTTACATTCATCATATTACATTGCAACAACTTGATTTTCCTGTAATTAAACATATATTTTTAAAACATAATAAAAGAAAAAACACAAAAATACATATTTATTTGATTCATTTGTAATCCATTTTGATGCATTTGAAAATCCATTTTCTTACTGTGTAACTGAGATGGCTCACTTGGTAGAGCATGAGACTCTTAATATCAGAGTCGTGGGTTTGATCCCCATGTTGGACAAAATATTCCTGTCATGCAGGAATATTGTACTAAATTACTCTTGTGGTCCTTTCCAACCCTACGATTCTATGAAAGCCAGCCTTGGATTTTTATTGATGGGCAACACAGAAATGTCTTTAAGAAACAGTTATTTGTGCATGAGGAATTCCAGACACCCCCATACTATATGCATGTGAAGAGCGCGCACACCCCACACAATGCACATTTGAAGAGCATCACAATATATAGGGGGATATTAGCAAAATATATGCAAGCCTGGTCCACCCCATTGCCAACTGGCCCCAACACTTCCTTGTTGCTGTAGCTGCTGCCCATTTGCTTGTCCTGTTTCTCTGGACTCAATCTGCAGTGCTACTCGAAGGGATAGAGCAAAAACCAGTGGAGAGAATACTGCTGCTTGGTCCTAGCAATGCTCTCTCACTTGGAAAGAGTAGGTGAACCAGGCAGAAACTGCAGGAATTAAGAATTACTTGCTCAGGGGGCTTCTGGGAATTGGTGGCGAGTCCCCTGCTAGACCTGGGATTCAGCAGATGCCCTGCAAATGCTGACCCCAGCAGCAGCTAAGCATGTGCAAGTAGTGATCCAACACGAATTAGGCTGCACTCATTTTGTCAACAATATCTGTCATTTTTATTATTTCTAAACAAGCATTGAATGTGCCTGAGATCTGAAAGAAATAGCTGGATTTCAGGCAGGGGAATCAAACACTGTGAACGTGACTGCTGTTTCTTTAAAAGAACAAAAAACCCAGGGTATCACAAGGGGAAGATTCTGAACCCTAGGTAGTTCTGAATTCTGAATCCTGGGTAGTTCTGAACATTTGTACTAAGCACCCCACTGGGGGCTGTATTATTCTTTTGGAAATACGGCTCCACCTGGAGATACCAACTTGCACTTAGAATCCTCAGCTTCCACGACTACATTGTACTGCCTCCAGGCAAGCAATAAGAAAAGGAAGTCCTGGTTTTGTAATGTGTTCCACTTGATCTCCAATTTGTTAACCATCCTGCTGTACCGTAGGGGATAATGCACAAATAGGAGTTAGAAAACAAGGGTGGCGACATTACTCGGATTCCTATTTTAGACAGGTGAGAAAGCAGTAAAGATCTGAAACTGCAACCAGAAAATGTGTTGGCAGGAGAGAGGTGTGAATCAAGGAGGATCTTGTTTTCTGAAAAGGAGTTATGCAACTGGTCTTAAGCACCACATTTTCAACCCACATTCCAGAACAAACAGCTCTATTCCCTGTGCCTCTAACACTGCCCTGACCCTGAAGTCATTGCTGCCAGGAGCCTGCGGCGTGGTCTTTTCGGCTTTGGCCCCCTCCCTTTTACAGAATTACCAAAGGAGATTTGCCTGCATCAAATGCTGCAGACTCTATTCTTCCTCTCCAACAATCTTCATCAGAAAATTCTCCACACTTCATTATTTACATGAGACAGTTGCCCCATTCTGTTACCATATGACCAACCAGCATTTGTTACCCCAAATTTTATCTCTGGTTAATCCACATTTGGGCAAGAGCTACATATTTATTTTTAAAGGAAGCCTTTGTGCCTTTTCTGTCTTCCTCAACACTGTTGTCTAACATTGTTGGCATTGTCTTGGACATGTCCATGCCCTTTCTAATGTGTGGTTGAGGGCAATGTGCATGAAATAGATGCCACATAAGGAGCACTTTCAATCTCTTGCCTGCAGCAGCAGCTGCCTCCCTGCATCAAATTCACAATGCGGATCAAACGGCGCCTCTCTCCAACCCTGAAAACATTTGTTTTGGAGGGTTTGTCATGGGCGCGAAGAAAAATAACCAAATCTGCATGAGGAACGGCTGCACACAAACACTTCGCCATGTAGAAGCTTCCACCGCAGGGAGCAGTTTCAAAGCATCTTCCATGTGGGGGCTATTTTGTGTGCACCAGCCCTTGCCTGCGTTCAAAAGCTCCAGCTGTTTCCCTTAGTGATTCGCCTCTCCTGAGAGCACACTATGAATCTAAGCAGTCAGCAATTTATCTGATTCATTGTGCAGCTCAAGTAGCAAGTTTTTTATATTTTGCTTTCTTTATATTCAACCCCTGCGAGTGATTACCTAAAAGTAATTTCTGGTGGTTAATTTTTTTTAAGCAACAACAATAACACCCAGCCTTTTGTTAAAGTTTTTTAAGAATCCTCCTCCATTCTAGAGAGCATAGATAAGAAAGATCCTCATTTACAGTATAACACAGTGTTTTCAAAATTCTGGATATTGAAGCACTTCTTTTCTGAATTAAAACTGAAGGTGCTCTTCAGAGGAGTCAGGAAGAGTTTGTATATGTAGTCTGAATCCAGTGGAAGCTGACCCAGTCAAGTAAATGGGGCATTGCCCAAAAAAGCTTTGTTCTGTGTGCTGCCTTGAAAAACAGGCAGAGTACCAAAACCATTCAAAGGTGATGCTATGGAGATGCATAACTGCATAATGTTGAACATGCAGACATCCAGGACATGTCCAGATGCTGTGCTAACACTGGGGGCAGAGCCAGTTGGAGTGGTCCTGTTTCCTCCTCCCATAGGGTGAAATAATGACTGGAACTACAGCATTGTTTGGATAAGGGCTAACACAATATGTTTGCTACTCCCCCTCCCCATGTTCTCAAAAGGTCTGATCATCACCTTGGTAGATTTTTCATAGCAACAACCAACAAGAGGAGGCACATTTCAAATACACAATAAATATCTACTCTTGCTTGTATTTCAAAAAACAAACAAACAGAAGAACCTATGAGCTTCTAGAACACAATAGGTAGAAACCACAACTGGATTAGAACACAAGAACATAATATGAGTCTGCTGGATCAGACCAATGGTCCATCAACTCCAGCATCCTATTCTCACATTGGCCAACCACATGCCCATGGGTGGTGGACCCGGAAGATGGAGTCCCAGATTAGGGCCACATCGTGTTGGAAGATACATACTTGAAGAGTAGTAAGGCACTGGAAGTCTGAAAACCAAGACCACCAGAAGCTAGCCTGCAGCATCTTACCTCCTGTACCACCCCCAGCCAACTGGTTCTTCCACCAACCAGGCAGAGAGCGCTCTGTAGGTCAGAGCCACTCTGCCAACATGACTACTGTCAGCTGAGCCCACAGGCCAGTCAGGACCCACTTACTCCTATAAAGCCCTTAGATCAGTGTTTCCCAACCTTAGGTCTCCAGCTGTTTTTGGACTACAATTCCCATCATCACTGGCTACTGTTCCTGCTAACTAGGGATGATGGGAGTTGTAGTCCAACAACAGCTGGAGACCCAACTTTGGGAAACACTGCCCTAGATCCACATTAGTTTTGTCACCAAAGCAACTTGTCTTGAGGGTTAGCCTAAGCTGCTAAACAGACTTAACTGCCTTGGCTGCTCCATAACTTGACTGCTATCCCATGCATCTTCAGTCAACTTGGAACTTGGTCTGCCTGTACCAGAACCAGAGGACACCCAATAGAATCCAGCCTCTCTGCTAGACAACTGTTTTTGAATATATGAATAAAGACACCAAAAGGAGCCTGAAAACCACGAGTCAAGCAAGAAAATTCATAATTATATCTCATCCATGAATGTATGCAACCACGGTCAAGAGTTTCAGCATGGATTTGCACCAATTATCTTTCCTTTCGTGGTCTTAAGCCAGAAACCCTCTCCTGTTCTTCTGATGTGGATTTTCTACAGGCTCACCAACAGAATAACCAGCAGGCAACCATAAATTACAGGGATATAAATACCTTGAGACTTTTTGCAGTAGCCAAGGCTAGGCTGTTACACTAAATGATTACTCTCTCGAAGATATTAATTCACAGCACCGCATTCCCCATGGTGGTTGTTTTTCAAGATCTGATCTAGTATCATATCCGGCAAAAATAAAAAAAAGAAGTAGCTAGCAATGTGCTGTCGTAGATGAAGGGTACCAGAGTCTGTTAGTGAATGGTAGAAATTAATAAATGGTAGCATTTAGATAATATTTGAGATAGGAAGGGAAAATACAAGCTGCAGAACTGTGCCAGACACGAAATCTCAGGGTTAGCCTATGCAAATCAGCTTGGCCAGGCTATCTAAGTGCAAAACCAAAGAGGAACAACCAACCATTAAAGAAAACTGGCAATGAAAAAAGCTGCCCCTTCCCCTGCCCCCGCCCCGCTCCAAGGAGTGAACAGGGACAGGAGATTTGGGAGTTTGCCAAGGTGACAAAGGTGTGTGATGTCCCTCCCATCAGATGTCAAGGAGATAAGCAACTATGCAACCTTTAGAAGACATCTGAAGGCAGCCCTGAATAGGGAAGTTTTTAATGTTTATTGTTTTATTATGTTGGCCAGAGTGGTTGGGGCAACCTAGATGGGTGGAGTGTTGTTGTTGTTGAAATGTATCCTTTTTGAAATGTAAAGGTGTTTTGAGAACAAGAAGGAGGAAATTAGGCAGAACTCCATGTGGTGCTGGCTGGAGGAGGCTGCACTGAGAGACCGGGAGTCATGACTGCTGCTTTGGACCAAAGCTTGCTGAAGCTATGAGAGAGGCAATGAGAGATGCTATTGGGGTATAATGTTCTGTACCCCCTTCCACTGAAGATTTTAGGTCTATATGTGTGTATAATAAGCCATATTTCTTAAAGACACCAGCCTCCGCTGCGCCTTGATTTCCCAATGGAAACACAACCCTGCTCTTGCTACCGCTCAGCAGAGATTGGGGCTGGCGTGCAACCTTCGTAACAGTACTTTAGTTTCCATTTCACTTTGGAAGGCTGGGGGACAGACAACAGCTTTTAAGGAAGTCAAAAAGTGGCTGGGGAGAGGCCTCGCCTCCTATGGTGTAAACACATTTCCTTTGTCCTCGCCGTCGCCTCTGGTCAAGCAACACAAAAACCAGCTTCCCTGCTTGCCAGCAATGAAAATGGGATGAGTATACACACTGCGAGCAGCAATTGCTCTTTCCAACTGCCTTCAGCTCTCTGAAGAAACTATTCTCTTTCTCTCCAGCCGAAACGGGGGATGTGGATGACACACCACATCTAGACAATGGCCTCCTCACTTCCACTTTGCCTCAGGAGTGCTGCATGCAAACACAGCTTTCCTTCACAAAAACAGCCTTGTACTAGGTTGGAATATTTTTCTATCTAGCCCAGAGCTCTTTAACTGCAGCCTCTCCCCCACCCTCACCCCCGGCTGCCCTACATGCGTTTTGGACTATAACTCCCATTGTTCCCAGCCTCCACAGCCAATGGTCATGGATTATGGGGATTTTAGTACAAAACATGGGGAGGGCACTGTGTTGAAGAAGGTTGTTCAGTGCCACCGCCACCCCAGATAGAGTGAAGAGCCTCTATACTTTCACCTGATCTATTTTTAGCTGGAATTGCCAGGGACTGAATCTGGCACCATATGCATATAAAACTAGTACAGGCATCCCCTCATAAGTGATCAACTCACATACTGGAAAATAAACACCGTATTTTTCGCCCTATAGGACGCACCGGCCCATAGGACGCACCTAGATTGGGGGGGGAATAAAGGGGGGGAAATTATTTCCCCACCCACCCAGGCGCGGGGCGGGGAAACGGCTTCGCGCCAGGCTCCCTAGGGCTGCACAGAGTTTCTGAAGCCTGGAGAGGGAGAGGGGTCGGTGCGCACCGACCCCTATCACTCACCAGGCTTCAGCAAAAGCCTGTATTCGCCCCATAGGACGCACACACATTTCCCCTTCATTTTTGGAGGGGGAAAAGTGCGTCCTATAGGGCGACAAATACGGTAAATAGATTGAAATCTGTAAATGGCAGGAGAGCACTGCCTCCTTCTTCACATCCAATGCCCCACCCCTTGACTGCTCCAGATAGCTCCGACCCAGGACAGTCCAGGGACTGTCTCAACCCAACTTTGCCAAATACTGGATACTATAGTGATGCTACTCTTGCACTGCAGGCATAAGATCTCACACCTCCAGTTAAAAGGGATCTCGGGAAGCAGATAGGGGTGGAGGAGGAATTCAGTTTTGTTTGCCTTTTAATGAGATACTACCTAATTTGCCTGTTGTCTTTGTCCATGGAGTTTTCTTGGCAGGGATACTGGAGTGGCTTGCCGGTTCCTCCTCCAGGTAGAGACATCACCTTGCCAACAAAGGTCTGTATAGTAAAAGCTATGGTTTTCCCAGTAGTGATGTATGGAAGTGAGAGCTGGACCATAAAGAAGGCTGATCGCCGAAGAATTGATGCTTTTGAATTATGGTGCTGGAGGAGACTCTTGAGAGTCCCATGGACTGCAAGAAGATCAAACGTATCCATTCTTAAAGAAATCAGCCCTCAGTGCTCACTGGAAGGACAGTGAAGCTGAGGCTCCAATACTTTGGTCACCTCATGAGAAGAGAAGACTCCCTGGAAAAGACCCTGATGTTGGGGAAAATGGAGGGCACAAGGAGAAGGGGACGACAGAGGACGAGATGGTTGGATGGTATTCTTGAAGCTACCAGCATGAGTTTGATCAAACTGCGGGAGGCAGTGGAGGACAGAAGTGCCTGGCGTGCTCTGGTCCATGGGGTCACGAAGAGTCGGACACGACTAAACGACTAAACAACAAACACCTAATTTGCACTTCTCAAACCCGTATCTGCAAACTGAAACATAGCTAGCCTTTGAGCTTCACATCCTCTGAATTTTGCAATGCAGTTCTCCAATCAAGTGGTGTGTACAAAAATACATATATTAGGGGAAAGTGTGCCTTAAAAGGAATACATCCATAGCAAAATCTGTGGTTTATCCAAGACTGGCTTAGCCAGACCTATGCAATATCTCTCTGACATGTTCAGACTGCAGAACATTGTATTTCAATGTCTTGCATCCTCCTCCTTATCCCTTATGGGTATCTTCTGTTTCATGAACATAGCCTCCCTAGATTTTAAGATGGGAACTGGGTAAATATTCTCAAGGTCATACAGCCAAAGGTATTTAATTTAAGTGTGACTGCATGTAGAAACTCATTCTGGGTCTAAGATACCCTTGCCCAAACTGGTGTCCTGTAGATTATTTGGACTACAGCTCCCATGATCCATTACCATTGGCTATGCTGGCTGAGCCTGATGGGAGATGAACAACATCAGGGAGGAACCAGGTTGATGAAGGCTGCTTTAACGACTGCTTCTGCTTATCCTCAGGAGCCCTGGAAATTAGGAAATCATCTCTTTTTTCTCAGGACCAAAAAACAAAAACACTATTCTGTCTGAAGAGTTAAAACAATGGGAACAAACAAGGCTTTGATCTATAAAGTGATCCTTTGTCGTTACCAGAGCAAGGGCTGTAATCTCCTTGCTTGCGATTATGCAAGAGAATATTATATTGATCCTGTAAAATATATCTGATTGCATCAACGTTATTTTCTCGTGCACTGGCAATGACTTACCCAGGAATGAATGTAATTCCACTGCTAACACTGTCTTACTAAAATCCCCCAATAAATCCTCAAAGCAGGGCGGTTAGTAATGCCTTTATTAGACTAATGAAACAAGATATTTCTATGCAGGGCTTCCCACCATTGTGCCAATTCTTTTTTTCTTTTATTTTGAATTAAAGAAGATAAGATTTCAAAGGTGTACTGGCACACATGGAAACCAGGAAACTTTTTTTTCCTGTGCAGGAAAAAAAAGAGAGAATTTTGGTCACAGGCAGTATTGCTTCTGAAAACCAGTTGCTGGAAACCTCAGACCAGGACTCCTTAGGCAGAGTTCTCTGGCAACCGGTCCATTTTCTTTGGGTTCACCAGTACAGAAGCCCATCTCCCTCTTCCTGAACCCCAAAGAGACATCTCTGCCACCAGGCTTTGATGGCTGCTTCAGAAACTCCTTGGGGATCCAAAAAGTCCTGAGGAGAAAAACCTCATTTTATCAAAGAAGATAATGACCCCAAAAGATGGCACTGGCCCTACAACTGGTCAGGAAGCATCACTCAGGGGGTGGGGCCTCAATTCAATATCTACCTAACCCTGCTGTAAAACTTGGACAGTTGGTCCAGGACCTTTCTGAGACAACTTGGATGGTTGGTCTCAGCTGCAGGACCACTATCTCTGATGCTGGACCTATACCTTGATCTCTCTCCAAGGTGCTGACTGCTGCTTTTGTTGCACTGCCTGGGAGACCAAGAAGGATTGACCTCTCCTTGCGTGGGCTTATTCATTCATTCATTTATTTATTTCTCACCTTCCCCAAAGGAGCCCAGAAGAGCACCTCTCCTCAATGGTGGATCACAACACCCCTTGGGAAACTCCAGTAGATCACAACACCCCCCTTGTGTGTTGGTTAAAGACAAACATAGAATCCCTAAGTATGGTTAGTACCAAATAAGAATATGAAACTAACATAATAAATCAAACTCAGTATGAAAGTAGTTCCTTAGCTGTAGCCCAATACAATGAAGACTTAAATGTCAACCATACCATTGGCTGTTGCTGCAAGGGGGCTGGCAGACTCTGTTGAAACAGTGGCCTTTCTATAGTCCATTCAATCCCATGTCATGCCAGGGCATATTAGGTCTGATTACAGGCTTCTGGGCCCTGCAGCATACCAATGACATCATCATCATGCTCCCAAGACATAGAGGCTTCTGTGCTTTTGGGGGCTTGCAGAGTGTAAAATGTAACATAGATACCAGTGTGATGTTGTGGTTAGAGGGTCAGATTTGGAGACAGGAGACACAGGTTAGAGATGGAGAAGAAATTTGATTCCCTTCACATTTATACACACCTAACACACACTTTTCAAAACAGTACCACAACCAAATCACAACCATCCTTTGAAATTTGTGCATCTCTGACCAAGCAATGTGTATGAAAGTGAAGCAATACGAATAGATATGCATATACTAGTGAAAATAACATGTAGAAATGCATTATATTGGGGGGGTGCTTTGCAAATGTGTGCATATTAGGCAAAATGAAATACAAACATATTTATATTAGAAGAAATTTGGACTAGAATACTGAAGAACATTCAAGAGGACTATATATATTTAGTCAACTCCTTTTTTAAAAAAATAATATTTATTAATTTTCCAACCGTTTAAACACAACAAAACAAAAAAACCAAAAAACCATAAAACTAACAGAACAAGACACAAACCATTTAAAACACAAAACAATTTCAATACCTTATCTTTCATTCCCTTATTTCCACGACCTCCTCACACCTCCCTTTTTGTATTCCACTTCTGTTAATTGTTTCAGCAATTCCTTTCCATCTTTCTCTGTTTTCTATCCTATAATTATCTTAACATATTCTAACCTTATTTTTCCCTTTAATACTCTATTAATCTATTTATACTTGATTCCTTATAACATTTCTACTAAAGCCATATAACTTCATTCCAACATTTTTCTAACATTCATTATTTTTACAGTATTTCTATAAATAGTCTTAAACTTTTTCCACTCTTCTTCCACCGACTCTTCTCCCTGGTCTCAGATTTCTGCCAGTCATTTCCGCCAATTCCATATAGTCCATCAACTTCATCTGCCATTCTTCCCGAATAGATAAATCTTGTGTCTTCCAGTACTTCACAATGAGTATTCTTGCTGCTATTGTTGCATACGTGAAAAAGTTCTATCCTTCTTTAACACCAATTGGCCGACCATGCCCAGGAGAAAGGCCTCTGGTTTCTTCAAAAGGGTATATTTAAATACCTTTTCATTTCGTTATGAATCATCTCCCAAAGTGTCTTAATCCTTGGGCATGTCCACCAAAGGTGAACTCTAATCCTCAAATTTGTCTGTTTTTCTTTAAGTTAAGTCATAGCAAGCGTCAACTTATGTTCATCAAATTGCCTCTGTAGGGCTGGGGCTCTCTTTCTCTTTCTCTCCAGTTGTGTTACTTTACATTCAGCAACAACAGCTTTTTCCCTGGCTTCCTCCGCAGTTTGCCGTATCCAAGTAGGTTCCTGTATCAATTTCTGGGTGGTTTCTGTATTGGTATTATTTATACTTTCTGTATTTAAGTTAATTTTAGTAATTGAAACATCCACTTTCGCATTTATTGTGTCCATTTTCCTGTTAAGCTGATCCAGTGAGTCATTTATCTTATATAATGCAGCCACTAAAGCCTCTTCTGTCGACATTCCTCTTGGATTTAAATATACTGGTACAAAGGAAGCAACAGAAAGAGCAGGGGGGCCTGATGATGGACCTCTCCTGGATTGTTGCCAAGTCCTCCCAGACCTTAATGTTTTGTCAGCAGTTGACTGGTCTGTTTTTCCTCTTCCATTTACCATAACACTTAAAAGATTCAAGGTCAGTCCCAGAGTCTCACGGTTTTTAACTTGCAGCTGGGAATTCCCCTAGCCCAGCTCTTGTAAAGCAACTGGTTTCATTTTATTTTATTTTTTAAAATAATATTTATTGAGAATTTAAAATTACAAAGAAAGAAAAGAAAAAACAAGAAATAAAAAAGAAAGGAAAAAAGGTAGGCAACAAGAGAAATTAAACAATACAAGTCAATAAAAACAAAAATCAAAGAGGAAACAAAACACACAATACATCAATATCAAGGAAAAAAAAAAATAAACAAAAAATTTAAAAACAAATCCAATATTCCCAAATCTTTATCTTTCATTAACTTGTTACATCGACCTCCTCACACCTCCCTTTTTTGTATTCTAGTTATTAATTATCTCAGCAAATCCTTTCCATCTTTCACAATATTCTGTCATTAAATTACCTTAATTTATTTTAACCTTATCTTACCATAAAAAGTCCTAAAGCTTAAAACTTAAATCTTATTTATACATAATTCTTTTTCACATAACATATTTATACATAATTCTTTTTAACTTTTCTACTAAAGCCAAATGGTTTCATTCCAACATTTTTCTAATACTCATTAATTTTACAGTGATTTTCTAAATGAATTTTTAAAACTTTCTTCCAATCTTCATCCATCGTCTCTTCTTCCTGGTCTCGGGTTTTGTCAGTCCTTTCTATCCCATCCATCTAGTCCATCAACCTGGTGACCTTCTATCCGAGGCTCTTAAGACTTTTCCATGTCCCTTCTGCAGGTCTTCTTCATGTTTATACCTGCACTTTGCTTTATCTTCTGCTAATCTTATTCTTAATTTCCTTCCTTTCTCTCGGGGAGACTCCGACTTGACAATATCTTTATCCCTTCTCAACAAGTCAGCCCATTCTCCATAGTCAACATTGAAATCCAAAAGATATTTGAAGGCATGCTTCAAAGTCCCTCCAAGGTTAAGGGCCCCCCGACTCCAAACTCCCCCTGGCCCAAAGCCAAATCCGAAAAGTCAGAACATCCCTGCATAGGGGGATCTATCCAACTTCCCATCTCCAGACCAAACGGTACTCCATCTCTCCAAATCTGACTTTCTCCAGGATCTGTCGTCAGAGACAACAACTTATGTTCCTTCAAGGCCGCAGCTCTCTCCATTTCTACTACTTGAGGTTCAGCAACAACCTCATCCTTTATCTTCTTCGCCACTTGCTCTGTCAGAGCACATTCCTGGGTTAACTCCTGAGTGGTTTCTATATAGGTATTCACTGTTTGTCCAAAATTGCCAACTGCAACAGTCATCAAATCCATCTTCTCATGTAGCTGTTCCAGTAAAGCGCTTGTTCTGCAAAAAGCAAGCACTAAAGCTTCTTCTGGGCACATTCTTGTTCAAGAGTCTCACGATCTTTAATCTCTGCAGCTGCAGAATTCCCCAGATCGACTCTAACAACAGTTTCACAAGCTCCCTCTAGAGGAAGCAATTTCTAATTGTTTCCGTCTTTTTAAAAGCAGATCTAGCAACAAAGTTCCTTTCGTTTTTCAGATATTTTGTTCCTTTTGAGTGCAAAAGGGAACATTGGAAGCAATATGTTTCTCTTTTTTAACTATCTGTCAAAAACGTGTTGTCCACAGTCGATGAACTACCCCAAAGCGTCTGTCTCTGACACCCTGCTCCCAGGTTCAAGACGGTGGAAATTTATCTTTCTTTACTCTATCTTCTGCAGGTTTAAACAGTCTAAAAAGATTCCCCCCTCTTCTCTTGCTTCCAAGGGGGTTTAGTAATTTTAGCAGGTGGAAATTTGGTCTTTTACAAACGACTTTCCAGACTCTAGCTTGCAATGTCTTTGCTTCAATCTATTTACAAAAGCGGAAGGCGGACTTCCTGTTTAGACCTTCCCGCTTCGGTGCCAAATTAAGAAGTTTCATAATCCAATTTTCTGTTCTACTCACGGGCAGTTGTTTAAAATCCAATTGTCCACAGGAAAAAGTCAGTGCTCTCCGGCAACAGCAATGTGGCTTCACTCCGTGGAAAGAGCAGTTGATTCGAAGCACCACACCATTCACCCCACGTCGCTCCGGATCCCCGAAACCGGGTTTCCCCGCAAGTAGGGGAGGCACAAAAGGTGCCAGCCGAATCCCACATCCACAGGCTTCTCCCGCCTGTGGTTTTTAATGGGTCTCCGCCTCGCCGCGGCGGTCCAGACCCTAGTTCTCACGAAGCGGATTCCTCCCGATCAGAGGAAGTCCGCCATTGCCGGAGGCGCTAACCCGGAAGTGTAAAGCAACCGGTTTCAAAGGCTTCCACTAGGGGGAAACAGTTTCTATTTGTAATACTCAATAGTATCCTCTTTTAAGCCATCCAAAATTAGTTTCAAATTAGTTTCAATTTTCAGTTACTTTTACTCCTTTTTAAAGCAGCTGGAGACAGTAGAAACAATGTATTTCTCTTGTTTAACTAGCTGTCAATGAACGTTCTAAATGCTGTCAATGAACATTCCAAAAGACGTCAGTCCTGCTAGCAGCCCGTTTCCAGGGTCAGAGCGGCGGTGCTTTAAATCTCTTCGCTCTCTCCCACAGGCATACTCAATCCGCAACTTCCCCCTCTCTTCTCCTGCCTCCAAGAGGGGGTTTAATGTTCTTTACCGATGGAAATTTAATCTTTTACAAAAGACTTTCCAGGACTCCAGCTTGCAACTTCATTCCCTCAGTCTATTTACAAAAGCGGAAGGCAGACTTCCTGTTTTGAACCTCCCCGTTACGGTGCCAAATTAAACATTTAGAAATCCAATTCTTCCGTTTCAGCTCTACTCACGGGTAATTACTTTAAAGTCAAATTGTCCACAGGAAAAGGTCAGCGCTCTCCGGCAACAGCTATGTGTCTTCGCTCCGTGGAAGAAGCAGACGATTCGATGCACCACGCCACTCACCCCACGTCGCTCCGGAGCCCCAAAAACCGGGGTTCCCTGCGAGTGGGGGAGGTGCAAAAGGTGCCCGCCGAATCCCACGCTCACAGGCTTCTCCCGCCTGTGATTTTAACGGGTCTCCGCCTTCGCCGTGGCAGCCAGACCCAGATTCCCACGGAGCAGATTCCTCCCAGTCAGAGGAATTCCACCATTGCCGGAGGCACCTCCCCGGAAGTTATTTAGTCAACTCCTAACCCAGGTTTAACTTCTCACTCAGCCACAAAGGTCACTGGGTGACCTTGAGCCAGTTAACTCTCTCTCTCTCTCTCTCTCAGCCTAACCTGCCTCAGTGACAGAGGTAAGGATAAAGTAGGGCAGGGGGTTCAAACCATGAACACTGCCTTAAGCTCTTTGGAGCAAAGGGTGGGGTGTACATGCAACCAGTGTCATCGCCTTCCCACAGCGTGACGTGCCAAATGTTGCACTGTATAAGCCACAACAGGCACAGACTCCCTGGATGTTTTTACACCTTTGGGGTGCATAGAGAACTGGGTGGCAGGAACAGATGTTTCTCCTAACTCTGTGGTTGGCTCCACCTGGCCAGGAACCAAACTCCTTCTCCACATTTGTGGTTTCACTGCCATGTTGGAGCAACCCTAGGCATCTCTCCCATACAGGCTGACACAATACATTTTTCTGATGGAGGCAGAGCAGCAAATACCTCCAACCAAGTCAAGGTGCATAGTGGTACCCAAGGCCAACCAACTTATTTCTTGGCAACAGATGCAGAAAATCCAACAAGCTCCTCTCCCACTCCTTGGTTATAAAGATGCTGTCATCATCATATAATATGCTGCCCTTTCAAAATCACTCTGTTGAATAGCAGAGGCACATAATGTGGCAGTGCTGCTGTTTCAAAAGCAGGGGTACAGATACAAAGAGTCACAGCTCAGCTTTTCCTTCACGTGTAAATTGTGACTTGGCTCACTTGCTTGAGCTATCTGTTTGGCAGGCACATTGATATGGCACACCATGCTGACACGGTGGTTTGTGAGGAGAGCGTGCTTTCCTGTAGAGATCTAAGAATGGGTTGCCTTCTGGTTCTCTTCCAAGTATCTATCCATATATGTGTGTGTACCCAATAATAAAACTGAAGAATTCAAAGTACAGGTTCCAGTGGCCCCCTTCCAAATCTTCCTTTCGATTCCAGAGCAGAGCAATGCAGACCACTGGAGCACTCAAGAAATCACTCCCTTCGTTAGCTGCCATGAAATGGCAATACCAGATGAAAGCAATGAGCATATAAAGCTACGCAAACATCTGCAAAGGTCACACAAGCTGAACACCAGCAATCAAGAGCATCAGGCAGACACTTGCTGGAGAAGATTATCTCCTAAGGCCCTTTGAAACCTGGCTGGCAAAAAAAAAAATTTAAAAAATTGTGACAGGTACAAGCTGGCTCCCGTATGTCTCCTATGGAAACCACAGGAAAATGTATCCATGTTCCTTACATCATTACCCTGAAATGTCAAAGGAGTCACCCTCTTAGCAACAAAGGCCATCAGAAACAGGAGGAAGCCATTTGGAAAGCCTTTGAAAATCAACACTTTCCCCAGAAGAAAGTTGTCTGTTAATCGCTGCCCATCTGCAGTGGGTAAGGCAGAGGCTATATTCACATCTAACTCACGTGCCCCTGCCACATTGAAATGAGGCAGCAATTGCTTCCCTTGTGTGACTGAGAAAAACCAATGTACATAACCCAATGTAGTGCTTTCAAAAACAGTGTGCAGGAGCAGAACCATGGCACATGGGGAAGTGGGGCTAAACCCTTTCTTCCTAATAATAATAATAATAATAATAATAATAATAATAATAATAATTTATTTATACTCTGCCCATCTGGCTGGGTCTCCCTAGCCACCCTAGGCGGCTTCCAACAAAGTATTAAAATACAGTGGTCTTTTAAACATTAAAAGCTTCCCTAAACAGGGCTGCTTTCAGATGTCTTCTAAAAGCCTGGCAGTTGTTTTTATCTTTGACATCTGGTGGGAGGGCGTTCCACAGGGCAGGTGCCACTACTGAGAAGGCCTTCTGCCTGGTTCCCTGTAACTTGGCTTCTCGCAGTGAGGGAACCTCCAGAAGGCCCTTGGCGCTGGACCTCAGTGTCCGGGCAGACTCTCCTTCAGGTATACTGGGCCGAGGCCGTTTAGGGCTTTAAAGGTCAGCACCAACACTTTGAATTGTGCTCGGAAACATACTGGGAGCCAATGTAGATCCTATGCCGCATCCCAGGAAAAAATACCACCAGCACTAGCAATGGCATTTTTGCTGGGAGGTGTCATCCCCCTAAGGGACTGTAGCAATGGTTTGGGGTGATTTTCGATGGGAGTGAAGTGCAAAGGAGAAGAATTAACACATGCCCCTCTCCTGCAAGAACAGAAGTGTTTGTTGGATGGGGCCAATGGCCCATCTAGACAGCATCCTGCTCTCCCAGCAGCCAACCAGATGCATGCAGGAAACCCACAAGCAGAACCCCTTGCACAAGGGCCCTCTCCCTTCCTCTGGTCTCCAATAGCTGGTATTCAGAAGCAATGTGGCTCCAAATCCAGAAGCACAGCATAGCCATCATGGCTAGTAGCCCCACTAATAGCCCTCTCCTCCGGGAATTAGTCCAATCCTCATTTAAAGCCATCTAAGTTGGTGTCCATCATCTCCTTCTGAAGAAGCAAGTCCCCTTTAATCTGTCCTAAATCTCCCAACAGCTGGTTTCATTGGCTGTCCACAACTTCTAGTGTTATGAGAGAGGGAGAAAAACTATCAGCATGGATAGTTCAGTTGGTTAGAGCATGGTACTAGTAATGCCAAGGTTGCAAATTTGATCCTTATGTGGGACAGTTGCATATTCTTGCTTTGCAGGGGGGTGGACGAGATGATCCTCAGGGTCTCCTTCAACTCAACAATTCTATGATTTACTCCATGCCGCTGTGGGTTAAACCACAGAGCCTAGGACTTGCCGATCAGAAGGTCGGCGGTTCGAATCCCCGCGACGGGAAGAGCTCCTGTTATTCGGTCCCAGCTCCTGCCAACCTAGCAGTTTGAAAGGATGCCAAAAAAAAAGTACTAGTAGATAAATAGGTACCGCTCCAGCGGGAAGGTAAACAGCATTTCCGTCCGCTGCTCCGGTTTGCCAGAAGCGGCTTAGTCATGCTGGCCACATGACCCGGAAGCTGTCTGCAGACAAACGCCAGCTCCCTCAGCCTATAGAGCAAGATGAGTGCCGCAACCCCAGAGTCGGTCACGACTGGACCTAATGGTCAGAGGTCCTTTTACCTTTACCTTTATGCACCATTTTATAAACTTCTATCAAGTCACCACTTACTATTATTATTATTATTATTATTATTATTATTATTATTATTCCCTGCCCCTCTATCTGGGTTGCTCTAGCTGCTAAAATGTTCCAAGTGCTGCAACCTTTCCTCACAAAGGGGACACTCTATCCCCTTGATCGTGACCAGGTCCACCCATGCAGGGGATATTTTTTTAATTAACAGCAAGATCTATTAAATGCCCGTATTGCATTTAAATCCATTTGGCCCCGAGCAGCCACCCAGGCAGTGCAGGAAGCAGCAGAGAATTACTACCTGGCCTGCAAGAGACCCTGTTGTACCTAAGAAGCCATCCACCATCTGATTGATTGTAGAAATTCAGGGAGGATTCAGACAATCTGATTTCTACCCAAGCAATAAGTCCAGCAGCCTCCAGACAGAGAATCAAGGGGAATTAACTCACCTGATAGGGTCCAATCCTCAGTGGACTCAACAGTCGAAATCTTTAAAAAATGTGGAAATCTAGTCTCTCAATGTGGTGACTGCACAGTCCATTACTCACTAGTTTACAGACATCAGGAGCCATGGTAATACTTGGTTCCCCACAGGGGCATTGCTGGGTATTTAAGGGATTCAGGGCACAGACCCCATGACCCAAGGGTGGCAGACTCTCTCACACACAGTACTTTGCAGTGTGCCCAGTCAAGCTATGAGTCAGAAGCAGGGAACCCTCTAGACCTGCTAGAGAGTCCAATATAGCCCTCAAGGCCATTTCCCCCAAATAAAAAATCCTGCCAATCAGCTGCCAAGACTGGATGACATCAGCTAAGGGATGGGGGTTCACCAGTGCTTCACCATTGCTTTTCCTACAGGGAATGTGCTGGCAAAACAGGACCCCCCACCATGTGGGTCAACTTTGACAGGACTGCCCACCTACCAGTCACATGAGTCCTCAACCTTGCTATTGGTGAAGTTTTTAAAAATAGCTTTTAAAAGAGTGAGGGGCAGTAGATTCAGGACCCACTCACAACTGTCAATGTTTCCCTTTTTTTAAGGGCAATTCCCTTATTCCGAATAGGATTTCTTGCAAGAAAAGGGGAAAGTTGACAGCTATGGACCCACTGCAAAAGTTCCCCTAGATCATCACCCCCTAACATGACTCCTGATCCGCCACATATCTGGGGACTTCCATATCTGGAGGAGCCATTACTCAGTAAAGAGTTATGAGGATCCACTTTGTGACAACCCAGTTCTGCTTGAATCCCTCCACCTGGCAACACCAACAGTCAGCATTCATTGCCCGACATGACAGCATTGACGTCGTCTGACAGCCATTTTTTTCCCCTCAACAAGCATTGACTTTTGCAATTGCCTCATCCCTGCGAAGATGTCACATAACGTTTTAAACATTGCAAGGGAAGGGTCAGTCCCGGTGCAGCTACTGTGAGAAAAGCAGAAGGTTGATCTTACCGGGTGGGGGTCACATTCTTCCTGGGGAGGGGGCAGGCAGGCAGGCAGGCAAGTGACAGGATGGAGAACAAAATGGGAAAGAAGCACACAGGGGCAGAGGAAGGGGCTGCAGTGGGGGTGGACCGCCCAGGTGTCTTCATTGAGGGAGGTGACATTTGGCCCACCACCCTTCCACGACTCCCACACCTACCCCAAGCCATTGGGGGAAGGGAGGAGCTGTGCCGGTTTGCTTTGTGACGGAGAGCCAGTGTGGTGTAGTGGTTAGGAGCGTAGATTCATAATCTGGGGAACCGGGTTTGCGTATCCGCTCCTCCACATGCAGCTGCTGGGTGGCCTTGGGCTAGTCACACTTCTCTGAAGTCTCTCAGCCCCACTCACCTCACAGAGTGTTTATTGTGGGGGAGGAAGGGAAAGGAGAATGTTAGCCACTTTGAGACTCCTTCGGGTAGTGATAAAGCGGGAAATCAAATCCAAACTCTTCTTCTCTTCTTCCCCCCTTCCCCCTTCGTTTTGACAGCTGGGGGAGGCTTGGGAATTGCGGGCAGGCGGCGCGCCAAATGTCCGCCATCGGCGGCTCACTCCGCCCCCAGTTGCAGGGCACACGTGCCGCTCTATGCACCCAAGTGGCTATGCTGCACCTGGGAGGGCACCCTCCGTGCTCTGCCGCCCTCGGGAGCCCCCCCCCAGGAGTACACCCACCCTGGGCAGCGTGGGCATATCCTCTGCCGCTGGAAGCACAGGGGAAAGACCTGGGGAAGTGGGTAATTTGCAACCCAGAAGATCAGAATTCTCAATATTTCTGTCAATCCTTTGCCAAAAGGGCACCATTATCTCTAGACCAGGGATGGGGAATCTATGACCCTCCAGATATTGTTGGACTACAACTCCCATCATTCTTGACTGCTTTGCCATGTTTGCTGGGGCTGATGGGAGTTGGAGTTCTACAACATTTGGAGGGCCGCAAGTTGCACACCCCTGCTCTAGAATTATGCCTGTCTGGACTGACCAACTGAAGTTATTTACCATCTACTTCATAGCTGCCAGGGCAGGCAGTCTGGAATCAAGCAAGCATCAGACAGAAACTTCAGTAGCTAAGTGGGAGCAACAGTCAGTCTGAGAGCAGCTCCGTCTGTACCTAAACAACAGTTGTTCAGACTCTGGAGCTAGACCATAGTCCGAAACCTTAGGGAACCAGGTGAAAACCTAGTACCTCCCAGTATCACCTGATCTCTCCTGAGCTGATAGCTGCAATGCCTCCTCGTTGCATACCCTCCAACATTTCTCTGATGAAAATAGGGACGTCCTAAGCAAAAGCGGGACATTCCAGGATCAAATCAGAAACTGGGAAGGTTTCTGTAAATCTGGGACTGTCCCTGGGAAATAGGGACACTTGGAGGGTCTGTCATTGTCAGAGGTTGTAATCCAGTAGCATCTCAGTAGTATCACATTAGCTACCCATGCCCGACATAGTGAGAACAATCATACTGCAGGAAAGGCTGTAGCATGTGTCTTCCATGAAGAAGGGATGAACCAGGTTCAATTTGTGGCATCTCCAGGTATGGCACAAAAGCACCCTTTTCTGAAACCCTGGAGAGCTGTGGCCGCACAATCCTGAACAAGCAGGCAATGGCCTCTGACTTGGCAAAAGGAAGTTTCCTCTGTGTACACATTGTGCAAGTAAGCCATGGTTGCATCTCTTCTGTATTAATACCATGCTTTTCCTCCCCCCCCCCCCCCAAAAAAAAGTACAAGGCACAGTTTGCTGGCCTTGCCTTGGGATGCTGGAAGGATTTCATACTCAGAAAAAGTGAAAAACACATGAATCTTTCCCCAGACCAACAGAACATTGCATTGCACTCAGTCTTACCTTGGGGAAAAAAGGAAAGAGTCAAGCAACAATATGTGACAGATGTTAGACCCATCACTTAACGCATGATAGGAAAATACCATGGCAATGAGAGTCGTGTAACAACTTGTATAGGAAGAAACAAAGAATTCCCACTAGCGGGTCCTTGTCTTAGCAGAGGGTTCATATTTAAGGAGGTAAACAAATGGTCACTGAAGCCTTTAGATAAATTTAAGAAATCGCCTCAAAGGTGAACTGAAAATAAATACTGTAGATTGTGACTATATAAGGTTGAGGTATTATAGGGAAGAATCCAAGAGAGATGGCTGGTTGGCCATGGTTGAGAACCGGATACTCGACTAGATGGGATTTTGGTCTGATTCAGCAGGGCTCTTATGTTATATCCTTACATATGGGAGCAGATGAGCAACAGGGAGGGAATCATGTGGCTGAGAACAATGCAAAAGTTATGGAGGCAAATTCCATCCACTGTCATGAACTGACAATACAATAGGGAGGAGGAGGAAGAGGAGGAAGGCAATCCTGGTGAGGGGTGTAGCCAGGACTAGGACACACCGGGGCAAGCAGGGAAGGGAGTATTCACAGGGTGACGGAGGATGACAAGAGAATGGAGGTCAGTGCATAGGAACCAGAGCAGCAGGACCCTTCACCAGAGCCAGGGGGTCCCTATCTCCAGAGGGCCCCTATCTCTGAGGCATAGGGAGCAGAGGGTGGGATGCTCCAGGAGGCACAGGCAGACAAGGGCCCACAGCCCAACTCCCTAGCTGGCCAGGTGAGGCTTGCTAGCTCTAGGAGGAAGTGTGTGATTCATCAGCTGGAGTAGGCTTGGAACAGGTAAGGGTCACATGTGTAGTCAAGCCCAGATGCTGCAATCAGCATGCAAAGTACAAAAGGGAAGCAGAGCTGAGGTGCAAAAGTGTCTGCTCAACTATCCATGTTGATGGACCTTGACTTGGATGCTCCTGGACCTCTATGGGACTGTGCTTTGGGTTTAACTCTGGACTGTATCCTGTCTGCTGGACTTCATACTTGACTTACTTGGATGGACCCTGGATTGTGTTTCCTGACCTTCAGACTTTGGACTTTGCTTGCATGGATTGACCCCCCTAGACTTTGAACTTTGGGTGACAAACTGACTTGCCACCAGGTAAGCCAGGGATTCAAGACACCCACTACCCTATGCCCATGAAGACCAGGGCCAGTTGCCCTTCTCAGGAGTTGCTGGTGTGGGTGCCACTTCACCACAAACTAGAAAGAGGAATGTTTCAAGAAGCATACAAACAGATGACAGGCAGTAGCCAACTAACCCATTTCATCTGTGTGGGGATTCCAACTTGTGCAATGGAAACTCCCTCCCTCCCCAAATCTGTTCTGGGAGTGTTCCCATTTCTCAAGAGTAATTTGGAGAGGGCACAGGGTGTGTGCAGAGACTGGATGGAGGGGAGTTCCATTGCACAAATGAAGATCTTCCTGTGACAGTATGAGTTAGCTGGATATCAACCAGATCTTCCAAGACAATATGCAGTCAAATGCATATGAACCAATATAATAAAAGGATGAACTGCAGCAATACAAAGTCATTCAACTGAAAAGCTAAAGAAAGAAACAAAAATCAAGCTCAGAGCCCCAAAAACTGCCAAAAGAGGAAAGGCAGAGAATAACTCAAGATGAACAGATGTGGGATTCTCAAAGAGGGGTCAGAGCAAGTTTCTTCAACCACAGGTGGAAGCTGGTTTCACAGCTTGTCTTATGCACAGCGATATCTGCAGGTTGAAGCCTGCTCAGGCCTTGTCTTGCCCCCTTCTCTCATGCATACTTTTATAAGAAGCCTATATGTGTTGCTGCAGATGTGAGTTCACCATTCAGCTTTTAAAAATATCAAAAACACTCTCACATTTATTTGAGGGTAAATCCTACTGAATTCATTGGAGCTTACATCTGAGTAAGCATCCACAAGGTTGCACTGCACATGTCCTTGGGATTCCCTGTGGTACTCATTCCATCTTCTCCTTGTCTAGTTCCAATGTGGACCCATTGGGGTACTCGGTTTTGTCCCTCATAAGAAGTAGGTGTGTATCAAAGCAATAGCTCAGAGTAATCCAGATACAAGCATTAAGAGACAGCTTTGAAATCAGCAAGACCAAATAAATTCTCTGAAGTGTATTGTGCAATCTCCAGTTGAAGTCGGCGTCAAGAACTGGGATTCTTGCTTTGTACCATTTCCTCCTTCACTGTGGACTTAATTTCCTTTCTCTCTAGAAACAGATCTAACAGATCTCCTAAAGTAATTTATTGTGAAAGCAGTAGGTCAAAAGATCAGCTCCTTGGAACACTGTGTATCTGGAAATTCAGCTAGGAGTTCAGGAGTATTTTAAAGAAGTGGTGGGGGAATGTTCTAGGGCTCCATAATATCACTAGGACCATTCCCTCCATCTCCAATGTTCAAGATGTGAGTGCCGTTACTTATGTAGCCAAAACGGCATTCAAACACACCCCACACCAGGGAGGTATCATGATGTGTGGTTTGGCCCTTGTGATACATGCTCCCCCCGTCTGTATCTTCTTTTATAGCAATATATAGCTTCATGTTATCCTGCTTGTTGCTGTTGTATTACTGTTTAGTATAATGCTTTATTGCTTTGATTGTTAGCCCTCTGTGAAACTAGTGTTTAAAAGCAGGCTATGAATCCTTAAAAGTGTAGGGGTGTGTGTATTCTGCATTTCCAAGGAACTGATCCTTCAAGTGTGGCAGCGCCTACATTCTGAAACTCTGTCCCCACTGATATTAAGCAGGGGACCTTTGCCGTGCTGTTTTCAGCAGCTGCTGAAACAGGTAGATTTGCCATGTAACGTAAATTTAGCAGGGGTTTTAATGTTGTTTTATTTCATTATTTTATTTTAAAGCATTTATAAACCGCTTCGTATTTTAAGAATCTCTAAGTGATGTACAACCTAAAAACAGTATCATTAAAACAAAACAAAAATGCAAGATAGTGTTGTTGTTGTTGTTGTTGTTGTTGTTGTTGTTGTTGTTGTTGTTAAACTGCTTCTTTTATTCTAAAACAAAAATGAATTACTGGGGGGGATGAATTACTCCTCCATTCCTACGCAAGAAGGAGGAGATATTGTAAGCCTTAGAGCTTGCCCAGTTGATCTTAATGGCCTGTCCTACCATTAGGCAGAGTGAGGCAACTGTCTCAGGTGGCAGATGCTTAGGGGCAGCAATAGGAGCCCCTGCCTATTCCTCCCAAGTTCCCAACCATTCCCCCTCTGTTGCCACATGGCCTTTACTGGGCTCCCTAATCTGACCCGCTGCCTCAGTGGAGGATGCTACTGCATCACCAGTGTTGAAGTAAGATTCAGCTGCTGCTTCAGCCAACTTCTGGATGTGTAATTGGAAGCAAGATTCTAGTCCTCCACCAAGGCAGCAAAATATCTTGGGCTGGCTGTGATGAGAGGGGGAGGTGGCAAAAGGTAGCTCAAGATCTGCTGGCAGTTGTCTGGGTGGTATGCAGTAGATCATCAAGGATTTATTTTGATTAAAAAATTGCAAACTGAACATCTCCCCTTCCCCACATTTGCCCAACCCTAAGGCATAGCTCAGATGTAAACAATAATAGCAAAGGTCATGCAAGCACTGAAGTGGCAAGAGAATGAAAGTTGCTGTTATCAATATGAAAGAAAATGTTAACACAGCTATATATTGCAGAACATGGCAGGTACAGTCTGTCCTCTAGAGTCCTTGTTACTGCACTGGATGAATGGCCACCATTCCAGCATAAAAGTCTCTCAGGGTTTATTTGTTTTTTGCCCTCCAGCCACTTGAAGTTTTTGTGTCCGCTTTTTAAGGATTTCTATCCCGCCCCCCAAAAAAATTATATTATCCCATTTTAGTTCATATAAACTTTCTGCTTCTTTCCAATTTCTAGCTATCAATATTCTTGAGGCCATTAATAACTAACCAATTAAATGTTTATATAATAATCCTTGGTTATCTCCACTGAATATACCCAACAATACTATTTCAAGTGCCGTTCCCCCCCATCCCCAGTTTTCCCAGTATTTTTGATATTTCTATAAAAATCTCTTCCCAGAACTAGGCAACTTTGGCACAGTCCCACCACATATGCGTGAAGGAACTGTGAGCTGTACGTGCCCTCCAGCAAACAGGTGAGTATGACTTATCCATTTTAGCTATTTCGTAGGCGTTAATGCCATTTTTGCATTAGTTTTAAAGAATTTTATTTTAAACTAGATGAGGTTATTTTATAAGGATTTTTTCCCCACATAGCCGCCCAATCTTCATCATGATTTCCCAGTTTGCTTAACAATAAAAAACAACCAAATAACCCACACATAGGCTGGACTGTCTCAAAGTAGCCCACATCTTCTGCTTGGTGAAGTTGCATCTTATTGGTTAACACACATATTAGACTGCTGGGATGAAGAAATCTTGAAGTAACCAGTAATGGATTTTAGTATGGAAGCTTGGTTCTCATCTTCAAAACAAATCCCTGTGCTCAGTGGCTACTCTGAGACATCATGTTATTTCATTCTAAGTCTATGTCTTCTGCACCCCGTCTTCTCTTGGTGGATCTCAGAGTTTTAGTAAAACAAAACTTAGATCTCAGAAACTACAAGACAGACCTCCCTTGCTAAATGGGGCCAAAAAAAATCATTTAGAGATTCTCGTCCTAAACCAGCTCCCATTGACCCTGACCATGAGTTATGCTAGCTGGGGTTGGTGGCAATTTGATAACATCTAGAAAGCCACTGTTTCTTGCTTCTTTACAGTAGTGCTAAATTCTTATGGTGTTTGATGCTCGAAAATCTCTCTTAACGCATCTCATTTCATTTTATGCAATGGCTTGTGAAGGCTTTGCTCTAAGAGATTACCTATATTATAGGTCTTATAAAACGTTTCAAATAAATAAAATGGAGTTGTGGCAGGGAAGAGTAGACAAATACCATACATTTCCTATTCGATGTATCAGACTCTTTTTTAGATTTCAAAAAAATCTAACATACTATCACATTCCCATCAGTCTCAGTCTCAAAAAAAACTCATATTCTTACTATTTCCATTTTGCTAATGGACAGTTGAGACCATGCATGGTTGTTTGCCCAAAGCTACTAAGTTAGCTCATGCCTGAGGCAACTTGTAATGTAGATTTTCCAGATTTACACCTGTGTCAATATCTGCCCTGCTTAATAGTAACCCAGATGAATTAGACCAAAGGCCTGTCTAGCCCAGTATCCTATTTCACAATGGCCAACCAAACAACTCTGCAAAATCCAGAAGCAGGACATGAGGAAAATGCCCCATCTGCACTGTTATTCCTCAGTGACTGGTACTCAGAGGCATGTTGCTTCCCATAATGGTGGCAATATAAAGCCATCAGTGCCTGGGAGCCATTGACAGCATTTGTCTAATCCCCTTTCAAAACAGTCTACGATGGCAGCCATTACTACACCATGGACTAGCAAATTCTATAGTTGTACTATGTGCTGTGTAAATAAATATTTCTTCTTGCCTTTCCTGAATCTTCCAACGTTCACTTTCATTGGGAGTCGCTGGATTCTAGAGGGGGAAACATATCCCTGTTCTCTTTCTCTACAACACACACACTTTTGTTTACCAGAGCCATGTCCCACTTTACTCACCTGTCCCCCCCACCCACCCACCCACCCAAACTAAAAAGCCCCAAATACTGTGACCTACCCTCGTAAAGGAGTTACAGAAGTGCTCCAGTTCAGCCCCTGATCATTTTGGTTGCTCCTGTCTTCATTTTCCAGCTCTACATTTGAGATGCAGTGACCAAAACCATACACAATATTTCAAGTGTGGCTGCACCAAATATTTGTACAAAGGCATTGCAATATTGGCAGTATATTGCCAAGCTAAAAGCTGGGGGTTATTTGCACCTATGAGCAGCAGAGACCTAAGTTACTTATCAAAAGAAGAGGTCTGTCCAAGACATAGTCCCATCATTCCTTTTGGTCCTACGCCAAGAAACCCAAAGCCTGACCTAGAAGAATCCTTGGTTTCCCTGCTAAGCCTGCCAATCAGAATGCTTGTTGTGATGACAGCTTCTGAGCATGGACAGTTGCCCATTACAAATTGCAACAGGTCCAAGAATGCATTTCATGAAGTCACGAAACAGCCGCTAGCTCATAACGCCTTCTAGCCATTAAACCCCAAAGTTGCGTTTGAACTTGAACTCATAACAAATAGCCAACAGGCTTCCAATTGCTCATTCATAAAGAGTGTTTGATGTCAGGGTGTTGACCTTTGCAATCCTTTATGTATAGCAAATGAACCAAAGTTATATATTTATGCAAATGCACTTGGAATCTATGCTGAAGACAAACATATTTTTAACAGAGCTTGAGAAGGATAAAGCTAGCTAAACAGAAGCTCTATAAAATAAAGGAAAAACCAGCCTAATCCCTATATGCAACGAAAACCTTGCAGGTGATCTTTTAAATTAATCCAAGAACTGCTGGAGGATATTCTGTTTTGCAGCAAAAAGATATAAAAACATGGGCAGAAACCAAGCAAAAACAATCCACTTGTTCCTTCACATACCCTTTTTCTAGATAAATATTTAACTGAAGCTGCTTCATTATATACCTTTTTGCGTACTGTGCTATGAGCAGAAGAAATAATCCAAGTAGATTGACTAACCTTGTTGGCCAAATGCTGCATGAAAAAGGAGGAAATGATATATCTGCGCTTTTTGTCAACATATGACTCTCCTTGGGGAGGAGGCATAACATTATTTCATTTTAGAGCTTTAACACGGTACTTTTGCCAAATGAAATTCAATGATCTCTTTTTAAATAACCTGTAACCACTGAGCTTGAATATGCACACATTCTATCCCCACCTCTTGCTTGCACTTCTCCTTGTTTGCTCCCTATCTGATGTTTAAAGAAGTCTATTAGTTTATTCAGAAGTAAGTTAGCTTTCTAGCGTAAGATTAGCGACAACCAAAAATTAGCAGGATTCAGTTAATCGGGGTCAAATTCAAAATGCTCATCTGGTTATTTTCTGCACTGTTTATGCATTAAGTAAAGAGTGCTAAATGCCACAGTGATTTGTGGCCTTATTAAAAAAAATTATACAGAGCAGAAGATTTGAGGACCATGCAGACCCCTTCCTATAAAGTCTATAAGCCCAGCAGAATGTCTCGACCTTCATATATGTTCCAAGTCAAGTCACTCAGAGCATAGCCAACAGCTATCCTTCCCACAGAAAAGAAAACTCTCTCAACTGTGATTGTTGGGCTAATGGGATAATCTGGTGGTGCACTTGTAGGCATTGCACAGTATCTTTGCACCTGGTTTCAGCTTATTCAATAAACTTATATTGGACAACTGCTTCTGAAAAAGAAACCCTACCTTTAGCAATGAGCTCCTCCAAGTCGAGGTCAAATCCCAGCCGATGGCATTTCCTCCACAGCCCCATGTTAGTAGAGTTGTACTGTCTGTTGCACTCATCAACGGCACTCATGGCAAAGAGCTGCCTCCTGTTTCTTGCCAAGAGAAGTTTCCCTTCCCAACGGTCCAATCTAGACCTGCTGGCTCTGAGGGGCAGGTTGTTGTTAGAGTTATAAATGAAGCCGGGGTCATTCCTCCGGGTGGTGATGCTTTTGCACCGTTCCCTGTGCTTCCTGGCATCAGTTTCATACCAATGGTCAGAGCAGATAGCCACAGCCAGCATGCCTAGAGCACACAACGCTAAAGAGAGACCGGCATAGAGCAATAACCTTCCGGCAGCCATACCTTAGCTTCACAGAAAGACCATGGACATCTTCACTAGGAGGCAGAAAGCCCTTTGAACTGGATATCAGGTATGAGCCCAGCTCTTGGGCAGGTGTCACTGGACAGTGGCTTCCTTCAGTGATCACATAGAAGCAGGTGGAGATTCATCAAACTCTGGAGGAAGTGAGGAGAGGAAAACTTATGCTCCAGAAGGAAAGAACCCTGGGCACTCATTCGCTTTTTCCTATGGGCAAGAGTAGGTGGGGGTGGCAAAATGGCCAGGAAATTCTGAAGCTTCAGCTTCAATCAGTCTGCTAAGGCGGAGAGGTCTTGTCACTGGCCAGGAAACGGCAGTCAGTGGTAAACAGCCTTCCCTTTTTTGTGTCTGGCCATCTGGATCAGTCTACTGAGCCCTTCCAGACTGAACCCACCCAGAAATACCAGAGGGGGGCTTTAGATAGACAGATATTCTACCCCTCTCAGCCCTTTAAGGGGGCCACATTCAAGGAGTAGAAACGCTTGAAAATCAAAGTCCAAAAATAAAAAAGCCCCAATCTTCAGCTTCCCAGCCTCCAGCAACCTTGCTTCTAAACACCAGGAAGCCTGCGATGTGAAGTAGAGTGTGTTTTTATGATGATGGTGATGATTTTGCAAGAATCCTGGTCACGGTCGATATGCTTGCTTGTTTCAGAGGACAGGCAGCGAAGGAAGAAAGCTGCCCTTTGGTCGATTTCAATCCTGGGCTTTTTCTTGAAACACACACACAACGCACATCCAAGCCAGTCCTTTGCCTTCCTAACGCGGGAGTCCGGTCGCCCTGCTCCGTCGCCCCAGAAGTCCAGCAGCTTTGCAGCAATGCACTGACATCTTGGTTCTCTCGCCGAGCCGCCGCCGCCGCCGCCGCCGCTCTGCCTCCTCCTCCTCCTCTTCGCCAACTGATTCAGCGCGTTTGTTGTGCTGCCTTGCGCCCGTGATCACGGCAACGTAAGGGGAGAATCGGCGATCGGCGATCGAGAACGCCGGATCACGGGCGGAAGAAGAGCGGCTGGGCTCTCGTCGTGGCCATCGTCAGCGGCAAGGAGGCGCACCCACCCGGGCACCCTGCCGCCCTCTCTGTCGGTTCCTTCCCCGGGGATCGTGTGGCAGGCGGCGGGAGGACAGGCACGCACAGAAGCGCCGGGGAGCTTGGAGGCGCCGCGCGATTCAGCACCACGGACAGCGCCAGCTTCCTTCCGAGAGACCCAGCCCCCGGAATATGTGTGTGTGTTTCCTCCTGCTGCTGCTATTGCAAAGCGGTCCTCCTTCACCCCCCTCCTTTTTTTCCTATTCCCCCCCCCTTTTTTTTTTTACACCGGGGCTTCCGTTTTCTGTTGAGCAAGGCTTTCCAACGTACAGATCCTATATATATATATATATATATATATATATATATATATATGCAGACACACACAAAAAAACAATGGGGAGTCTTCGTTCACTCCCCGCTTACCGTTGCAAAAAAGAAAAACCCCACCCCGATGAATTAAAACACGGTGGTAAATGGAGGGAGGGGGCGCCAAGCAAGAGAGGGGGGGTGGGGTAAAATTAATAAATAAATAACGCCAGCCGATTCCACTCAAAAGGAGGGGGGGCAATAAGCCTCTGCCTTGTCAATAGCTCACGGTCTGCACCATTTCCTTGCTACACGGCCTGATCCCCGTTGCAAGCAGCGCTTCCTTTGTAGGCTTTCCCTCCCCCTTTTCGTAGCAGCTTCCTACCCGGCGCGATCCTGCCGTCAACAGCTGGAGAGATTGTCTTCTTCAGACATTTTGCTGGGCCGGACCTCCTTCCATCCCACTTTTCTCCTCTAACGGGAAGAATTCGCCCATTCTCGCCAGGAGGCTGCCGGGCAGGCGAGATAGAGAGAGCCGGGGAGCCTTCGCAATGGCATCGCCCTCCCCCCGCTTGCAGGGCTGGCTGGCTGGCTGCTGTTGCCCTTTTAATGCCCCCGCGCTAATAGCTCGAATATAAGAGCGGCTCCAAGTCTTCTGCCCACCTGGGAATCTCGCCTTCTTCAAACACGCCACCCTGCAGCCTTGGCTGAAGCCTACAGCCAGAGAATACAGAACGCCGAGCCAAAAGCTAGTGATGTCACCCATGCAGCGTGAGCCTCCTTCCTTATTTCTCTAGCCTCCTTAAAGATAAACTGCACTCCTTCTCCGAGAGAGAAAATGCCTGGAGATTCGTCCTTTCCTTAAAGCAGGCAGAATAAAAACATGGCTCTGTATGCTGGGCTTTCTGATTTGGGGTCACCATGCCCTTTAAGCCAGCCTAAAAACCCTAAATGGTCCTGTTGCACACTGTTACATGCACATGCCGGAATCTAAATATTTCAGCATGCTTGGAAATCTGCAAATCTGCACCACAATCATTGTGAGACGTTTTGCACAAAGGACCACTTTCCTGTACATTTTTTTTGGGGGGTGTACACATGCACACACACAGTAGTGTGGTCCAAACGATCATGGTAGCTGAGTTGTCACATCTCAACCTCAGACCCCCAGTTGGAAAAAGAAAAAGGAATATGGAGATTACGGTGCAGTCGTATACATGCCTAGTCTACTCACAAGTAAGTCCAGTTGAGTCTGATGGGGACTTACTCCTGGGTAAGTATATTGCAGCTGTAATCACCTACCATTCATACTGCTGGTGTGCAGATTAAGGAGCACTGTAAATTATTATGTATAGCTAAAGAGCTATATGTATTATTAATGAGACCAATACATAAACATATTCCAGACATGTATTTAGACAAATAGGGTTGTCAGCTACTCTGCATTTTCAGAGAAGTCCCTTGTGTTAAGAAGGACCTCACAGAAGTGCATAGAGAGAATTGGGCAAACAAAACCATACAAGGAAAGGAAGGTTTGGATGTAGGAACTCCATGGCGCCTTCACAAGACTTGTGAGAGTGTTGGGGTGAGGAGGTGTGGATTTCTGCTATCACCCAGATACCTGCATCGATATTTAGACAACACAAGCTGCTTTTCCCCCTACTGCATTACATTGAAAGTAAACAGAGTGCCATGTCCCTTCAACCCTGGCTGTTGAATAGCAGCACATAGTATTTCCATAAAATGCTGGAAGTATGAAGCTGACCTATCAGGAAAGACCATTTGTCCAACTAACCCAGAGTTGCTTACTCTGGTTGGCAGCAGTTCGACAGCAGGGCTCTTTTTAGGAATCTCTGCCCCATCTAAACCCTGTCTAGCATGGAGGGTCAGTGGTTTGCATCATTCTGCACTGTTTTAAAGCAGTTGTCACAATCTGTACAGCTTGCTTTTTAGTCCCTTCAACCTCACTGCTTACAATTCTCCACCATCGCACAAACATGCATGGGTGGGTGGGTGGGTGGGTGGGTGTGGGGGTGTACTTGCCAACTAAGTATAACACTTCATGCAGCGGTGTTGTTTTTTAACTGACTCCTAGGGCTTCACCCCTCAGCTCTGACTCTCTCGTGCAAGTCCTTGGCTGTGGATATACCATACATTTAAAGCACATGGGAATTGTAGCTCAGCTATGGGTAAACTATAGTTCCCAGGATTCTAGAAAAGAGGCCCATGCTTTATGTGTATGGAGTTTACACGTCCCTGGGTCCTAGCTCCTCTCCAAGACCTGCTTACACCTCAGCCATGACACAACTGAAAATTGAGGTTTCCAAAAAAATCAACATTTCAGACAATTTATTATAAAAACAAAATGTATCTCTCTCGTTGTCTGGGATAAGTGTCAAATGCACTGAGATAGTGTTTTGCTCCAAAAGAACAGATACGTTTTAACCTAAAAACATAAACCGTAGAATTCTTAATCCAAAACTATACACAGTTTCAATATTTGTCAACCTCGGCAACAGATTATATGTGGCTTTCACTCCAACGTGGTGAAACAAAAGCTAAATCAAATTGGAGGCAGGGGAGAGAGAATCTGAATTTACAAGCACAAGTCATGTCAGTTCGCAGATTTCTTGCTTGAGGACAAAATTGACAGATTTGTCACCGAAGTGTAATTATGCCGCAAAATGCAGCAAAGTTGTAGATAGCTGTGTGGCTCCATTATAAAATCCAAACTTCGCAGTATGGCAAGACTTTTAAGACCAACCAGGATGTTAGAAAGGATGTTTTCTTTTTTTCTTTTTTTAAAAATAATATTTATTACTTTTCCAAAAAATTTAAACACTAAAAGAAAAGAAAAAAACCACATACAATACAATACATTAAACTAACAAAACAATACAACAATAAAATAAATCAAACAATTTCATTATCCCATCTTTCATTCACTTATTTCCGCGACCTCCTCACACCTCCCTTTTTGTATTCCACTTCTGTTAACTATTTCAGCAATTCCTTTCCATCTATCTCTGTTTTCTATCCTATAATTATCTTAACTCATTCTAACCTTATTTTTTCCTTTAATACTCTATTAATCTATTTATACTTAATTCCTTATAACATTTCTACTAAAGCCATGTAACTTCATTCCAACATTTTTCTAACATTCATTAATTTTACAATATTTCTGTAAGTAATCTTTAAATTTTTTCCAATCTTCTTCCACCAACTCTTCTCCCTGGTCTCGGATTCTGCCAGTCATTTCCGCCAATTCCATATAGTCCATCAACTTAGAAAGGATGTTTTCAAGGTCTCAGAAACAAAGTTATGTGGCGTTCATAATCATTCTCTCAAAGGATGTTTGGAAAGGAAAGATGGAGGGCAAATATCCCCTTTTCCCACCATATATCAGCATTTGTTGGAACCAATTGCATCCAAGTATGAACAGCCATGTGACATGAATTCATCCATTTGTTGCCGCAGTCCTGCAGGCTCCAAGTTCTAGATGTGAGGCTAGAATCAGGATGGAGGACAACTTCCCCTCCTGGTTGCTATGTCACCAGATGCGCTTTGCAGCCACCTCAAGGTTCGTGGATGCTTAGCAACTGCAGGAATGTTTTCTCCATTTTCTTCAAACATCCAACAAAATA